TAGGATTGGCCCTCCTACCAGCACTTTACACATTATGCTGAGAGGACGGCCGTGGATGTAGATGTTCCTAGGTAGGACTTCGCCACTCTTGCCAGCACCAATGTACACCGTTGCTTACAGGTCGTCCCGGCCGCAAGACCATGCCTCCTATCAGGTGAGAACTGGCCCTTCTCACTAGCACTTTTGTCCTTGCACATTTTTGCTAAGAGGACGTCCTGGCTGCAGGTTCTTATCTATTATTAGGTGAGAACTGGCCGTCTCACCAGCACTACTGTCGTTGTGCACTTTTGCTGAGAGGAAATCTTGGCCATAGGTTTGAAAGCATCAGGTGAGACTTGGCCACTCTCACCAGCAATATGTTCTTGGGCGCTTTTGCTGAAAGGTCGGCCGTGGATGTTAGTTGACTTCCAGGACATCCAGGTAAGACCTCAATAGTCTTACCAGCACCATCGCACATCGTTGCTGATAGGAAGTCGCGGCCGTAGGCCCCTGCTTTTGATTAGGTGAGAACTGACCCCCCTCACCACCATTACTATCCTTATACCCTTTTGCCGAGAGGAAGTCCTAGCTATAGGGCGCAACCCTTCCAATGTGTGTCACATGCATCACTATCCTTACTTTCCACTCTAAAGGTGAGAGTTGGCCCTTCTCACCAGCATCGTTGTAGTTGTGCAATCTTTGCTGAGAGTAATTGCGGCCGCACTTCTGTTTTACGATATACTGTCATTGAGCGTTTTGCCGCGAGTTTGCTATTGCTTTCACTATTATCAACCACAAAAGTAAGAACTGGCCAGTCTTACCAGCATTTGTGTTGTTCACCTTTGCTGAGAGTAGCTGTTGGGCATAGCTCCATGACTTTCTTCATGATATGTACAATTCAAGGTAAGACCCGGCCCGTCTTACCAGTAATCCTGCCATGCATAGTTGCTGAGATTACGTCTGGCCAAATGTTGCAGGTTCCTGGTCCTCTTTCCTACCACAGCTGAGTGTTTGAAAACTTCTTGTTCGTTGGTCCCTTTGAAGATGCGGTTCCAAGGTAAGAATTGGCCCATCTTACCTGCAATGGTGCAGCGAATCTTGCTGAGAGTACGTGCCAGCCGCAGAATTACCCTTGCGCTTCTTTCAACACCATAGTTCTCATGTGATATTTTGCATGACAGCTTTAAACAGGTGAGAATTGGCCACTCTTACCAGCACCATTGCACGTCGATGTTGACAGTAGATGCTAGCTCTTAGACTCAGTTCGAGATAGCCTAGGTGAGATCCACCATCCAAGCCCCATGATTCCTAGCCAGTTTTGTCGGGCGATCTCACCAGCGCATCCCACACCGCGCTGATCGGATGGCAGATTGACCTTGCTTTGCAATGTAAAGTTGAGTGGAAATGTCAGAAGTTACCTATTTATTGGGCAAGATGCTACTTGGTAAGACCTACCATTCAAGCCCCATGAGCCCTCGCCAGATCATGTGGCGGTCTTACCAGCACATCGCACAGCGTGCTGACAGTAGGATGGCAGAACTCCATATGCTACAAGGCGCAGCTTCACCTGCTGTCTGATTGTCCGTACACTTAAGCTGCGGGGCGAGTGCCCGAAATCTTCCAACTTTTGCAGGACATTGAGGTCTCGAAATCTGCAGCCTTCTTCTGTATATTGAAGAACTTTTGATTCCATATCGAAGTCTGTGAGGAATGAAGTCGATCAAATACCAGGTAGGACCTACCATCCATGCCCTTTGTCCCTTCGCCAAGGATATCGGGCGGTCCTACCAGCAGCATTGCACAGCGTTGCTGACAGGTCATCTTGTGTCCTAGCCTCTTCCTATATATCCTTGTCGCCAATGTCATCTCGCCATCTTCCATTTCTTCAGGTAAGACTCACTATCCATGCCCCTCTTTTTGGCTCGATGATGGGGCGGTCTTACAAGCATAATTACACCAGATTGCTGATAGGACATTTTTGTGTTGTCCTAGACTCTCGCGATAGTCGCAGCTTTGTGAACTTCTATCAAGGTAAGACCACTATCCATGGCTTGCATCACCTGGCCAGTGATGACAAGCCCGGTCTTACCAGCAAAATTATCCAAGATTGCTGACAGGACGTGTTGGTGTTGTCCTAGATTTTCGCAATAGTCGACTGTTATCTGCATCTTTGTGAACTTTCATCAAGGTAAGACCACTATCCATGGCTTGCATCGTCTGGCCACCGATGGCAAGCCCGGTCTTACCAGCAACATTACGCAAGTTGCTGACAGGACATTCGTGTCTAGACCGTGTCCATTGTCAATCATCGGCAGTACTATATTGCTGTCGTTGTCATTATCTTCAGGTAAGACCACAATCCACGGCCGACATCACTTGGCCCATGATCGTCGGCCCGGTCTTACCAGCACCTTGCACATTGTGCTGACTGGGTATCCGAGTCTTAGGAGCCAGATTCGGTTTCCTTTCAAGAAATACGGCACCCTTATTGACATTCCTTGGGGTAAGATCACCATCCATGGCCTCATTGCTGGCCAGCAATACGAGAGCCCGATCTTACCAGCAAATTGCACACCTTGCTGACCGGATGTGTAATCTTGGATAGTCTTCATGTTAGCTTAGGCATCAGCGGAGTACGGGTTTGCCAGCTTTGAGGGCTATTCAGGTAAGATCACTATCCATGGCTCCACTTTGTCTCGGCCCACAATGTGGGAGCCCGATCTTACCAGCACATTGCACATCGTGCTGACAGAACATCCGTGTTCTAGATTATGTCGATGGTGCCCGAAGCCCCATAGCGTTGTGCCGTCTTGACGGACATCAAGAGCTGTGCAGGTGAGATCTACCATCCATGCCTTTCTGTCATGGCCCAGACAGTGGGCGGTCTCACTAGCACATTGTACACCGTGCTGACCGGAAAACCTGTGTCCCAGATATCCTTGAAAGTTTATCACCCTGGTCGATCGTCCTGAGACTCTGTCCTTGTAGACGTTTTCAAGGTAAGACCCACCATCCAAGCCCTCTTGTCATAGCCGAGTCAGTTGGGCGGTCTTACCAGTACATTGCACATTTTACTGACAGGACGTCCTCTGTCTTGGACTCTGATTGCCAAATTTTCACGCAATAGCACAACCTGCTTTGCTGACTTCAGAGACCTTTTGCGAAGAACTTAGTCGCTCGTCACGTGCACAAGAGAGGTAAGGTGCGGGTATTCCTTTGCGCTAGAGACTGCTGTGCTGATAATATCAGATGAGGTGTCAATTCATTACATGGTGACTGCCTCAACATCTTTGGTGGTAGTGACCTTTGGGTTGGAAAGTATATATGGCGAAAGATGAAATGTAAACAAGCTGGATGATGTCACTGCGGGGGAGTGAGAAAAAAAGGGAGAGTGTATGTAATTTTATGAATCAAGAACGTTCATTTTTATATCCAAAAATAATAAATAATATAGTTTACTAAAATGTACTACAACTTCTATTTCCAGGTTAATTTTTTTTTTCTCTTTGTAGCCCGAGCACATATCCGTCCCTCAAGCCGTTTTGCGTAAGCGGCGGACTTAACCCAGCTTTGCCTGACTTCGAATATCCTTAATAGAGTTTCAGAGTTGCTCATCAGTGGACAGTCAACCTGACGTACAGCGAACCTGTAATCTTGAGAATAAATCTATGGGGGCGGGCAAGGCCTATGCACATGCCGAAGCGCCAATAAATGGGGCGCCAGCCTTCGCCGAACTCGAGTGATTCCTCACTTCTTCTTTCAACCAAATTATTTTCCGTACTCAAACTCTCGACAATCAAAGCTTGCTCCGACTACATAGACGTTAACCAGCAAATCGAACTTATCTATAAGGTGGGAGTCGACACTTTGGGTCGAAAAGGTAAACCAAACGCGTACAAACTTTCTCTCTAAGTGAATATCGACCTTCCACCCCGACCAACTCCACTATTAAATACAGACGCTTACAATGTTGGTCAGAAGGTGTCCTTCAGCGACGGCACCGCCTGGCTGGTCCGCTTCCCTCACGTTGGGAATGTTTGTAGTGAATATGCCGATGAGAAAGTTGCTATGGAAGTCGAGGCGATGAGTCTCATCCGCGAGAAGACTAGAAAAGCGAGCCTAGTGTGGAAACGAAGTGTGCATATGCATCGACCATGGGGAGGAAGGGTAAGCGAGCCTGACTCTTGCAGGTGAATGAAAATATACCATGCCTTGAATCACGCAACACCCACACCCGCTTTTCATGCTGCCGCCTTTCCCTATCACCCGGCCCTTTTGACTTTCTAGCCCCACTTTCCGCCCCGAACACGTCAGTCTAAGCCAGTGAACACGCCTCTGCGCTCTCTACAACACACGACCTATTCGCCTGCACTTCTTCGCCCAATGATGCGAGCATCAAGATCAAAGCCTCGTGCACCGAGGAACTTAACATGTATGGGGGCGTCCGCTTGTAGGCTGGTTCCGGGTACGTCTTGCGCCAAATTATATGAATCAGGTTCATCTCACGATTCGTAACCTCTCTGATTAACTTCATCGCATACTATTCACGAACTAGTAGAAGCTCGTTGCTAGCAAGTAATTCGTTTCAAAAGCTTCTTCATAGGTATGTATGTTAGCAATATTATTCATTGTTCAGTCCGCTACGAAATCTCTGCTTATGCCTGGCTTCTCTTCTCGTAGCTACTTGTACAACGTATCGCAAACATGTGCATTGAATATAAGACAACGACAATATACAGCGGTGGCTGTCAAAATCCTCAGTGCAATAAAGACAGCTACACACCAGGGCCTGAGTGTCCCCAGAAACCCTCTAATGGCGATATTCGAGAATGCCCGAACTACGAACTTAGGACTGGGGCGTCCAATAGGGTGAAAGGGAGATGCGAAGCACATCGCACCTATGTAGGAAATCTTTGGTGAACGTCTTGATTTGTTAAACTCACTATCATCTAGTTTTATCACAAGTAGTTTGAAATGGAGGAGCAAAGATCAGAAGAACAATGGCTTGAGGCGTGTAGTGGTTACATTTCCATTATATAATGCAAAAATCGTTCTAGAACTTCTTCTGCATTCCTGAAGCACCCTTGCCAGCAGCTTGTAATGACATCCCCGCACAATATGCTCGTCACATCAGGAAAACTTCCTCTGATGTAAAGCTCAGTAATAGTATCGTCCGGTATGCCTTCATATGGTCGCCCCCCGGTCATGATCTCGTAGAGTGTCGAACCAAGTGCAAACAAATCAGATTGAACTGTGCTTGGCTTATCGCTGTCAAGCTCGCGAGGTAGTTGATGTGATGAGTTCTCGAACCCGAGGACATCGCCGTCGCTGAAGCTAGAGAATCCAAAATCGCTGATTTTCACATGAAGCTCGCTGTCGAGGAGAAATTGGCGGGCGGCAAGGTCGGAATGGATTATGCTTTTGCTATGAATGAACACGACTGCTTCTATAACCCCTTGTGCTAATCGAATACGGCATTCGTCGGATGTATCGTGGTGGCTCCTTAAACAGCTTTCGATGTCTCTATGTAGTGCGTACTCAAGATCTACAAAGAAATCCCCTTTCGCAAGGCACTTGATAACTCTTGGATGATCGCCAAGGTAGAGATAAATTTTGCCTTCTCTTTGAATTGATTTCATAGCGAGGTCCAGATCATCGGAATCTGGAGCAGGAACTTTGCGAACTCTTCCTCCATCAACATGGTGAACATGGGTGAAAACGCCAACTCCAATGAAATTGTGCTTGTCCAGATAATATTGGACATCCTCTGCAATTTGAAGCTTCCGCGAAGTTAAACCCTCGAATTCTGATTGTGAGACATCAGCCATGTTTAGGAGGCATAGACAAGGTGGGTGCTATTGTTGGTGTCGTAAGGTAATTAATCACGAGGTGTTTAAGAGTGCGATCACGTGCAGCGCATTTCGGTATCATTATCCGGCATAGGGCACAAATTTCATCCATGAAGTCGGCCGGAGATTTCACTTCTAGCGCGCCACACGGCCACAAGCGAACATTTCACATTCGTGTCCCTTGTCTGGAGCCGCTTCGAACAAAGATGGCTTTCCCTATGACTTCGCTCTTGTGCGTATCAACTAGAACAGTTAATATTGCTTTCTTTCTAGCCAAGTGGTCGTACAGTGGAGCCTTCAAAATCCAAACATACCATGCAGATGGTACGGATATGCTTGAGAAAACTGCAAGCCGGCACTCTGTCAAATGCTTTCTTCCTGTCATCAAAACCTTATCAATCAGCATGTGTCTCTCCGCGCGCGTTACATTGCATAAGGAATCGATAAAGCTATCGTGATTTGTTAAATATGCCAGCGCATAGTGGGGAGAAGGATTCTTTTGATGAAGAATTACCGTTGGAACAATGGAGCAAGTTCAATGGGTTGCGGATGCTTGCTAAATACATGATATATGACCTGACTGGATGACGCCTATACAAGTCCACGTCAAAGTTGCAGATAAATCAAACTTCTGAAGTAATAACAACCCCATCAGCACCCTACTGCCGACTATGCGAACGTTCAGATTCCTATCTCAAATTAGCATCTCACCCCTCTGCAGGGAACAACAAAACTCACCAGAATCTTCGGCAACGCAGCCTTCCTCAAATAATTCTGATAATCCCTCTCTGGATTCGCAGAAACGCTCTCTTCAAGATCAAAAGTATTCGTAACCATCACACTCGTATCGCCACTCTGACTCCTCCCATTCCTCCTTATAAAAGTCCTCAACCCCGATAGCAAAGCAACAGGAGGTCTAGGCAGCGCATTAGGACCCTCGTCCATCTCAACCCAATTTGCTTCATCTGAACTTTTAGTTCTATATCTTCTCCACAGTCGCTCTTTGAGCCAAGTAGAGAGTTTGCGCGGGGAGGCGTTGGGAGCTTGCTTCTTCTTGCGGGATACGAGGGTGACGAAGAGGGTCCGGAAGGGAACGATGGATGCCATGATACAGGCTACGCAGCCTTCGGAGAATTGCCAAAATATGGCCCATGTTACGTCTACTTTGTCGCCTCGTTTGAGACCGCCTACGCGGGTAAGGGCGAAGATCACCATGATGAAGGAGAGGCAGAGGAATATGCCGAGGGAGAACTTTTGCTGGAGCTTCGTGCGAGATTTGCGGAGGATAAGAATGGGGATAATGGCGACTAGAGAGAAGGATTAGAGTTTTGTCAGTGCTGAGAGGGTGGAGCTTACTCATGATGTCGGTTGTGACATCCAAAACGGTGATGAGGATGGTTAGAAGAAGGGTCTTGAAGTAATTGTCTTCTGGGTAACATTTGACTGAGCATACTTAGTCAGTGTATGATATCTCGAAGAGCATTGTCTTGGACACTTACCAGCCTTTTCCCCAAATTCAGGACAAAGAATGAACGCCTCCACGACCAAGAACAACCAATTGGCAAGGACAGAACCAACGACGACCCAATAATAGGTATTGATCTGCTTCGACAAGCCATGAATCAGATGCCAGAAGAGCGCCAGAAAGGATGCCTTGACAGAGAATGTACAAGTCCAGACGGTACAAAGAAAGATATCGATGTACGTGATGGACGAGAGTATAGCGGCAATCTCATTGATGGGAACTATGACATCGGGATCCATAGCTATTGCCTCTTCCAATATGATGGTGTATATCATCTCAAAGTAACTTGCGCAAGCTACACCGAGACATATCAATGCAAACCAGACAAAGGCATCATCGAGCTTCAATCGAAGAAATAGGACGAGTCTCCGTATCGTGCGAGCTATGACTGAGAATGCCGCGACACCAAAGAGCACTGCAGCTGCTACCTATCAACCGTCAGTCCATTGTTGCAAAGACAACCGGGAAGCTCTATACCCTCAAATTCTTAAGCGGGATTCTCCCCGCGTGAGAAATAATAGTCTCATTCTCAGGCGTATCAAACCCCAAATGAATAGTCTCCAACAAACTCGACATATTGTCTCAGACACTCATTTAAAAGAACTACGATGCTCACACTGTACGAAAAGGAAAACGGGAGAGAAGGGAAACAGTATAACCCCCAAAGTAAGTGTGGCTTCACTACCCTCATGATGAGAGGAGTAATTGGAGATATTCCAGTCATACACGATTCTCGTCTGCGGCGCAGTACTTGGAGGTTGTCTGCTGTCAACTCGAGACTAACCGCACAGCTGCATATGCAGGTTTTCTTTCCACAAGAAAGCACCAAAATCAAAATATGAGGCTGTGCCAACGCAAACAAAACCATATAACCACACCACGGAATGGCATTATCTAGTGCGTGTACATGTATTCTTCTTGTACGACGAATGATCTGAGAGATTCGGCCCGGATATGCGTATCAGGTAAGACACCACACAGCACCATATAACACCACCACGACAATCTCGACAGGGCGGAGTGCTGCCCCGCATATCTGGGGAGTTCACGATAACGAGCTACCCTTGACGTCTGACGATATGCATCTCTTGTTCTATATTCTGATGCAGGGCAAGCTCCGCCCAGAAGATATGCCAGGATGTAGGAATGCCCGTGAAATCTTTTTGGTAATGCTGGCCGTAAAAGGGTCCAATCCCAGCTAGGCAGGACCTCGTTCCTTGGTTAGAGCTCTGTAGGCTCCTTTCCAAGGTGAAGAAGCTAGGATACAAGGCTCCCACCATCTCTTGTCTTACATATACATACGTACGTGGTGAAATTTGTTTTCTTTGTGGCTTCAAGCCTGCACCCCTCTCAAAATCTTAAAATTTTTGGAAACCAAAACGCCATCTTGATCATGGCATGGCTTTTTGAATCTTTGACTCCCGTCGTGGAGAAAGCTTTTGATCCTATCTTTGGTCCAATCCTGTTTTCAGTCATTGCTTGTTTGGTTACATATGCTGTCTCTCGAGTATCATGGGACCTCAACGTTCGTTCGGATTCTTTGGAGCCAAAGTTTCCTCCTACAGCTCCATATGCCATTCCTCTCTTGGGAAGCATTCCCAGCATCATATTCGACACCAAGAAATTTATCCACAATTCAACGTTCGTTCTTTTCCCCACCCTAAACCAATTCCCATTCCAGGACTCAATCTCAAGCTGATATCCACACAGATGGGCACTCAAAACCCCCAACCCCTTCGCCTTCCGCCTCTTCACCAAGAAATTCTTCGTCCTCCAAGGCGCAGCAAACATAAACGCCTTCTGGAAAAAAGAATCCCAAATGATCGGTATGACCGCGCAAATCTACTGTCTCAAATACCTGTTCGGCATGCCCAAATCCGCCCTTGACGTGTACGTCGCCGACAATTCTGGATTCAACGAAAAGCCCGCTCCAAAAGCCACGTTCAACCTCAAGATCGCATCGATTACCTCACTCATACCTCTCTTTTGGCATTTACGTCCGGCAAGCATTTCGCAGGTTTCTATAAGAGATGGCTCACAAGTTTCGAAGCGAGATTAAAAGGATTAAATACCTTTGATGAATGGATCGAACATCCTAGTCTTCTTTCTTTCTTTGAAAGAGATTTTGCCTTGGCGGTGGTGGAAGCGAGTTGTGGATCTATTCTCGAAAGAGAGAATCCGGATTTCGCAGAGGATTTAGCTACGTATACGAGAGTTACTCCTGTGTTGTCGAAAGGGATTCCGAGGATCTTTGCTCCCAAGGCGTATGGGATTCGCGATAAGTTGTTGGGTAATATTAAGGATTGGCATCGGAGAGCGAGGGAGGAGTGGGTACCAGAGTGTGTCGAGGAAGATGGTGATGCGGATCCGTATTGGGGAAGTGAGTTTATGAGGAGTAGGCAGACGATGTTTGCGGATTTCAGGGGCTTTGATGCAGATGCAGCCGCTTCTTCGGATTTGGGATTTACATGGGCGTACGTTCCCTCTCCCTCCTCCCTCATACCATTTACTTACTAAATCTTTCAGATTAATATACAACATCGTCCCAACAATGATGTGGGTAGTTCTCCAAATCCACAAAGATCCCCTCCTCCGGACCTCCATCCGCGCCGAACTCTCCTCCTTCTCCCTCCTAACACCCACCTTCCACCCCACCTCCATCAAAACCCTCGTCAAACTTCCCCGTCTCCAAGCCGTATACGCCGAATGTCTCCGTTTATTCGATCATCCCTTCATCCCTAGAGAAACAATAGAAGAAGTCCAAGTCAACAATTGGAAATTTCCAAAAGACAGCACCATCGTCATATCAACCCACGAAGCACAATCCGACTCCCATGTCTGGAATACCGGGATCAATAACTCTCACCCTATCGAATCTTTCTGGGCGGAACGTTTCCTCGCGTACCCCTCGGACCCGCTCTCTGGTCCAATTCTCCGTAGTGCAATCATGCCCTCCAATTTACCTGCTTACGACGAACTTCTCAAAACCGAACTAGAGAGTGGAAGAGGTGATGAGCCGGTATTTGCAGAAAAAGCAACGCTAGGCCATTGGATCCCGTATGGAGGCGGCGCACGCATCTGTCCCGGACGACATTTTGCCAAGAAAGCTATTTCTCATGGGAGCGGCTATGACGACGGCGATGTTTGATATTGAGATTTTGGCGAGTGAGAAGGAGATGCGGATTGATGAAGTTTCGTAAGGGATTGAAGTTCAGAGACCGATGGGTGCGATTCGGTATCGAATTCGGAGACGAAAGGAGGATGTGCGTTAGGGACGTGGAATAGAGTTAGAGTGACTACCGTGGGGTTGTTTATTTTGGATGGGCTGGGTTTGGGTATAGAGCGTGTTTCCACCTACTAGACTCCATCTTTCATGTGCTTCAAATGGTGAACATGGTATACCATCCCGTCTCAACCCCTCCCACTCACCAACCACCCAAACTCTTATCGAGCACGGCGCTTGGGAAATCTCGAAGATAGTTCTTTGGGGAAACGCTCAGCCCGCGCCCTTGGCATTAGGGCCGCCGATACGAAATAGCCTATTTTGAACATTCAATTTAAGGCTAGATTGTATGTATATGTATGTTAGTGGTCAATGGACATGGATACGAAGTATCCAATCCGGTTGTGTAAGGGCGAATATCGAATTGTCAGAAGCAAGAAAAGTGGTGTAATCTCACGTTAGATTTAAACGAGTCGTGAATAGTAGAGAGATCTTCAATGTCAATCAGTCAGCCTTGCGAAAGGCAAAATCGTGAGGAGTCCAAAGTTTGAATTATTAGGTATCTAGCTCTCAAGCAATAGCCGGTTCTGGTCCTTCTAACCCCAGAGGGCCCATGGAATTGCCAATTGTAGTAGACTGGGCATCTACCTGAAAAACGCAGTGTAATACTGTCCTCTCACACCGAGTATTTATTTCCGCAAAGTAACACGGCAAGGCAAATGATCAGCAGGATGAGCACCCGCCTTCTCAATCTGATATGCTCTTTCTCCATCAACTGTGACCAACCCCTTTCTTGGATGAAACCTATCGAACTCCTCATATGCGTCTTTGATATCGAATTCTCTAGCAGTCAAGGCAAGAATGACTTTCAGCTCGTTCATCACTAGGCCTTGACCAATGCAGTTTCGGGGTCCGAATTCAAAAGGTCTCCATGCCCATTTGGTAGGAAACAGGGGATCGTCTGCTTCGACCATCCAGCGTTCGGGTATGAATTCGTCGGGCTTGGGCCAGTATTTGGGGTTGCGTTGGATGGAGCTGTGAAGAATCCAGATCAATGCATTGTTTGTAGGGAATCTGACTCCGTTGTCGTCAACGATATCAACACCATCAACTCCTTGACGAGCTCCTGCTGCAGGTGGAAACAAACGCATAGCCTCTTTGATGACCCCATTGGTGTACACCAATTGGTTGAGGGTATTTGGATTATTGCTTATGAGTTCCTCGGCTGCAGCTGGGTCTTTTCCGAGAACCGCGTCGTGTTCTTCCCGGAGTTTCTTGAGGGCTTCAGGGTTCTTGTTCAGGAGGTAGTATGCGTGGCACAGACTGCTACTTGTGGTATCGTGGCCCGCAAATAGGAATGTTCGGATCTGGTATGTGGCGTATGATTTGAATGTCTTGTCCAACGATGGTGGCAGATTCTCGACACCTCCGTTCTGTTTCAGGTATCCGTCTAAAACTAGGCTAATGACCGATTTGCTGTCTCCTGCGTCCCCGTGTTCAAGGCTGTTTTTGTATGCGGCGTATCGCATGTCGAGTTCTTTGCCGATATAGGCGTTCATGCGGCGGGAGTTCAACCATTGATGATAGAGACGAACAGGATAGTATCGGACAAAGGGGTTGAGCTCGGCATCTCCCAAGTGCCATTCGACTTGGCTAAGCATTGCGACTGCCAGTGGGTTTTGGGTCTTCTTGGAGTTCAGACTATCCTCGCTGCTGAGAGTTAGCAAGAATTCCACAAAATTGGTAAAGTAACATACAGAACCAAGGATCCGATCATGTCCATTGTAAACCACAAAGTCTCTTCATCAAGACGAACCATCTCTCCCTTCTCAGCAATCTCAAGTAATAGCTTTCGGTATACAAGCGCTTCATGGACAATCGTAGGAACCAGTTTGAAGATATGTGCCTGACTGAAACCGGGATTGAAGATGCTTCGCCAAGATCTCCATTGTGTTTCCTCCATCGTGAAGAGATTCGGTCCACCAGCAATGGTCAGGAACCATCTGTCCAAGAAGTCTGGCTTCCTAGGAGCAATTGCCGTCTTCTGAGTAGCTTCCACGGTTGCATTGAGAGAAGCGCACACGAGCATAGGACCAAAAAATGGCCACATATCGAGGTAATAGACTCCGCCAGGAAACTTGTCTTTGATCATGCCTCCGAAGAAGTAGACAGGGTGGGCATCACTCGGCAGATCATCGATGTAGGGCTTCATGGCGAGCAAATGTCCAAGGAAGATGTTATGCTCTGGCATGGGCTGTAATGTGTCAATTGAAGGTCATCTTTCTCGGTTTGAAGGTGACTTACGACGCCCTGCTTCTTGAGTTGGACAAAAAGACGACGAGCTTGGTAGCCTTTCACGAAGACGTTGACGATCCATATTGTGAATATGCTGCCCAAACCAAGACCGAACAGTCCAAAGTTCATCAATTGGAAACCCATTTTAGTGAGCTGCGTAGGATTTCGCAACTTCCACGACTTGAGGCTGCCACGAACAGCTATTGCCAGGCTGACGTACAATGAGAGAATGACTGAAACACCTGCCTCGCTAAGAGGATATCAAAAGAGAAGCAAGAAAGAGGCGTTCTCAATTGACCGTCAACCTCGACGGCGTTGAGTCGAGTTGACAAAATTGTGGCGTGAAATTGAAATTGGCTTGTTTGTTGGTTGTTGGTTGTTGGTTTTCGAAATTCGTGCAGCCTCACTCCTACCCTTTTGATTGCCTTGTCCTCCACGGCCGCCACCGGCCAATACTGCACGCACCCGTTCTCAGACAACGAACATTTCCTGTTATCGGATTCTCGTTCATCAATATCCATGTGAATTGCATGCGAGTTATCTGCAGCATGACCTTTTTCATCCTTGCCAATGGGCATCTCGGGTTCGGAATGCGCCTTGGTATTATCGTACTCCGGAGATCCAAGCTACTGTGCCTCTGAAATGTAAGTATTTGATAACGGTATGCGTTGGTCTGTGGGATTGCATATACTTGCCGTATTACCCAAGTACCCGGTCGGCTTGGTCATGGGTCACTTGTCATGAGCCGAACATTGAGTACTAAAACTTTCAATGTTATGCAACTAAAATGAGGCTCTACAAGGATTGTGGTGAGATTTTACTGAGATCAGAATTACAGAAGTCCTGGACAAAAGAAGACATCCTCAACCCATCAGAGCATACCTATAATTACTACAAAAGGCGCTGCAATTCCGGCAAGAACAGTAAGCTATCTATATATTTTACCTCGACGATTGGAGCCGAACGCTCGCCGCTCCCGAGCGAGATGGGTTCTTTCGATCCGAGCTATCTCGAAGCCCTTCCACGTAATGTCTCCACGATTCCACCACCAAAAGGCGTGACGCCAAATTTCGTAGATCCAGATGCAGGCATTCAAGGTGAATATGGAAAGCTTCTGGTTTGAGTGGCTAAATTCTTGCGAAATAAGTAAAGTACACACACAAAAATTACCCAGCAAGTTCCAAGCCAGAGCGAATCTCCCCATCCACAGCCCAGGCCCCTTTACCCCTTCGTCCTCTTCGGCAATCTAAAAGCCCAATACAGCCCCAACGCACCCAGCACATTAACAACACTATAAACCATCGTAATCCCGAAATTCCTCCATCGATCCTCATAATAAATCCCCAGACTCTTCAACACCGCATCGACATCGCTCAGCGGGCAGAACTCACAGTTTTGCTGCGCTGTAAGATTAAGTAGAGAACCACCTGCATAGGACATATATTCCTTTAGATAAGTACCACAATCCTGACCGACGAGGGGGTTGAAATGGAGGAATTCGTTCGGTGAGCAAGTCAATGGAAGGCGGCCGAGGCCTGTAGACGCCATGCCGCTCACGAAGTATGTCAGGGGTGTAACGCGAAGCATCCAGATCCAGAAGCGAGGGAGTTTTGCGGGTGAGACTAGGACGCTGGATTGGAAGTTAGCAACGCAGCCTCTTCTAAAAATACGAAAGAGATTAGGATAGAAGAGATGAAGCAACATACCCACAAAAGATCAAACTCAACGAATATAACAAACTAGCAATATTCACCCCCAACGCCGCACCAGGTAATGGGGTAACAACCAGTTGCGAAAACGTAGATGTGAAAATCATGAAGCTCCAAATAAACAGAAACTGCAATCCCGCTCTCTCGTTCACCTCTCCAGCCGGAATATTGCTATTCATACCTACAGGATAATACCATACTGCATACAATACGACTGACAATAGTGTCTGCCAGGGAAGTTCAGCAATAGTGTTTGAGAGCACGAAAGCGGGCCAGGAATAGACTTTGGAGGGACGTTCACGGATTTCGTATAAGTCGCGGTTTTCGATGTATTGAGGCATGATCAGTTGGACGACGTTGCTGAAGAGAGTGAGCAAGAGGAAGATGGCGAAGATTTGGTTTTGGATTCCTTGGAGGGTGTTGGTGGAGTGGTAGAAGGAGAAGCCGTTTACTAAACCCTGAGTCTTGTTAGTATGTGGTATCCGGAAGGAGAGGGGAAACTTACTGCTGCAATGACGAGAGCGGATTTGGAGTATAAGTAAGAAGGAGTTCTCCAGTCTCGAAGGAGATTTCTCTTCGTCAGAATCCATAATTGGGTCCAGAAACTGCGAGCAAATTCTGTTCGTCCAATTGGGCTTGAGGTCTGAGGTGCAGGATGATCTTGAAGACTCTTCTTCGTCTCACTGATCAGATGCTCAATCTCCTTTCTCTCTTCTGCAGCAGCCCATTTGTCTGCCCAGCTCTTAGTATGGTCGCTGCTGGCTTTCGTAACTTCCAACAACCACCCCGCAGGATTCTCTTCTTCAAGACAACTTCTCCCACCCTGTGTCTCAAAATACTTAATCACCGTCTCGCATTTCGGATCAACATCCCCAAAATAAGTCTGCTTTCCATCTTCAGACAGCAGCAATAATTTATTAAACATCTGGAACAGTTCTCCCGACGGCTGATGTATGGTGCACAAGATCGCTTGTCCATTTTGAGACAATTTTTTCAGTAATGTGCAAATAGCCCATGCTGTATTACTATCCAGCCCCGAAGTTGGTTCGTCGAGAAAAAGTAACAGCTCGGGACGCACGGCAAGTTCGACGCCGATGGTGACTTTCTTTCTGCGTTCAACGTTCAGTCCTTCTCCTGGGACTCCAATTACTGCGTCCACGAAACTGCCCATGTCAAGGAGTTCGATGACTTCCTTGACATAAGCTAGTCGTTCTTGAATAGAGTATTCTTCGGATTGACGGAGTGTGACGCTAAATTCAAGAGCTTCTCGGACGGTGGAGGTGGAGAGGTGGATGTCGGCTTGTTGGGCATAGCCTACTTTGCGGGCGAAGCTGTGTTTGTTGTCGTCTTGGTCGCCTTTCACTATTTCTCCTCCTACAATGCCTCCGGGGGCACGATCAGCGAGAACGTTGAGGAGAGTGGTTTTGCCGGCTCCTGAGGGTCCCTGAATGTTGTTAGCAAGTGCTTTTTGATTACTTAAGATGAGCATACCATCACCGCAGACAAACTTCCTTGACGAACCCATCCTTGAATGCCATGAAGAACTCTCTTCGGACCTTGACTTGTCGGGATATCATAGGTGAGGTTATCCCAAAGAAACTGAATCGACTTTCCATGTCCTTCAATCGGTGTTGGTTCTGCCTCGTCTGTCGCGGTCTCGATGATCTGCAATGGCTTCTCGTTTGGTGTTTGAGATTCTTCGTCTTTAGAAGCTGTTTTGAGACTGAAGTGTCCTTGTGGAAAGATGAGTACTTCTCCTTTTGATCCTTGTAGAGGAATCCATTCGCTTGCAGCGAGGTAGAGACCACATAAGAACGTGCCCATGCAGATTATGACCCCAAGATTTATGTACACGTTAGCTTGGACATTCATGTGGGAATAGAGGTACATGCCTCCATTCGTGCTCTGGGTAGAAATCGAATACGTTGGTAATATATGTCGTTCCATCAACCACAGAAGATCCAAAAGCCGCCCCAGCAGCATTGCAGGCGTGATTCTCCGGACCAACATCTTTGTAACTTGGACCACTGGGGATAAATTCCGGACATTTGAATTCGCGGCCTTTAAACTATTCCACAGTTATTAAAAAGTTGTATCTTCATTTAGATCGACAAAAGCTTACTTCATTCGCCATCAAACTCTCAAAAGCGTATGTCACCGGATTGATGTACCGAAACCAGCTAAACCACGGATGCATATACGGGATAGGCAGAACGAATCCAGTATAAATAGTCAAAGCATAAACGAACACAGCTCCAGGAGCAATCGAAGTAGTCAGTGTTCTCGACATGGCACCGATCGTTCTAAATAACATCGACCCCGCAACCAAGCTTGTAAAGGCGAATAGGTAGAAGGTGAAGAATGCCGCAGGAGTTCTTCTGAGATTCGCTAAGAAATAGAATGGTATGTTGAAAGCAAACGTCAAGAGGAATTTGTTGGGTATATCGCAGAGGATCGAGGCGATGGATTCGACGGTGGGATGGTATAATGCAAGACTGAAATGCTTCTCGACGACTGGTCTGGTTTCCCAGAGACCTACACCCTGTTTATCATCAATGGCAGTCAAGTTCTATTTTGATTGAGCGGGAATACTAACCTCAAAAGCACCCGAGTAGGTGTTGAGCAGGATTGTAAAGAACAGCAAGACACCGCGTCCGAAGAAGCTGTCTGTCGTATCCGGCATGTTATAGAACATACTCCCGAGAATGATCGACACCATGAAATTTCCACCAATAGCAGACAGTGGGGTTTGGAGATCATTGCGGAGTCGTTGTAAACTTCTGACAATGCAAACATGTATTTGCTTGGATAGAGAAACGGTGTAAGGGCTTCCTTGTCTCCTGCAATTTGTTAGTTCTTGAATTTTGACGGCAATGACAAAGTGGGTTCGAGAATTACTCACATGTGAGGTGACTTCTGGGCCTTTCTAACAGCTCGATACTCCGCTAGTTGATCTGACTTGAATGAGAATTTCTCGTCATAGTCCGCGATGTCTTTTTGAAGTTGAGCTCGCTCAGCACTCAACTTCCAGACCTGAGCAAAGTCTTCGGGATTTCGAGAAGACCATGCTTGGGTTCCCGACTTGGCCATTCGTGCAGCCGGATTCGTGAGAGATGTCAAGAAATCCGCTGTAGTACTTCTCTCGGGACATACGAATCCCAGTTTGACGAAATATTCTTTCGCTTCAGCGACAGGACCAAAGAAGATCTCTTGACCTTCATACAACAGGATAACCTTGTCGAATATCTGTTCCAATGTCAATCCCACTTCCAAAACAACTTTCAAGAACATCAAGGGTACTTACATCATACATATCCTGAGATGCCTGGTAAAGGCTTACCAAAGACACAGATTGGCGAATAGTCGTAGACTGTCTCAAAGCTCTGAGAAACTCCAACGCATTAGCGCTATCCAGTCCTCTTGTGCTGTTGTCCCAGCATTGAAAAGGGCTTCCACCAACCATGATCTCTGCAATGCCTGCTCTCTTTCGCTCTCCTCCACTGATACCCTGGATGAAAGTATTGCCTATCTTGGTGTCTACCACACTGGATAAGTTCAGAGCCGAGAGAGTTGCGTTTTGGGTTTCGGCAGCATAGGATTTCCAGCTCTTGCCTGAATCTTCCAATTCATCATGGGACGTCCTTGCTTTGGAAGAAAGTTGTAATGTCTCGCTGACAGTGAGGTGGGCAATATGAAAATCAGACTCGGCGTGATATGTACATTCACCCCGAAACTCGGAATGCATCGTACGAGCAGAGATTCCTGTCAACCGGAGTTAATCGTTGGACAAAGGACCGATTGCAAGAACAGTTACCTTGATAATTCAGGATAGAAGCCTTATCGACCTGAAGACCTCTAGTCTGTCCCGCCAAGGTCCTCAAGAAAGTACTACACCCACTACCCGGCCTGCCCAAAACCAATAACATCTCTCCATTTTGCACTACGCCCTCAAAGTCGTCCAGAATATGAATCTTCGTCGCACCTCTTCTCGCAAACCAAGCTATAGTATCTCTCAATATCGCGCCAGGATAATTCGCAAACGTCTTCTGATAATCCGTCGCAGAACCATATCCATACACGTTGAGGCTCTGGAAAGCCACACTAGCATGACTGGCTCTCACACCTGAGTTGTCATCTTTGGCGTAGCGATTTCGTAACCAGACATCGTAGTCCAACGATGCGGAGGTGGGGTCTAGGTCTGATTCGGGCAGCAGGGTTGCTGTGGGCATTGCGCCGTAGAATCAATGGTTGGAGGTAGGTCAGAAACTGGTAGTTTGTTGAGAGTAAGGCGTTGGAGAGAATTGTGCCGTGACGCGCTGAATCTTGGGTTGTGGAGGGTCGGTGTATTTTAATAGGTAATGGTGAATTGGGTATGCTTGTGCGACGGAAAAGGTGGGAAATTGACGTAAGTTGTGAAACATAACTGTTGGTTTAATTTGGTTTGTTGGCAATATTTTAAGCACTATGTTCCGAGATGAGGCTTTCCACAGGCTGTGACTAATCCACAGCCTCTCCAAATTCCACAGGCTGTCCACAGGCTGTGAGAGCATTTAGCGTGGTTGCCTAGCTTATTTCTTATTTTTAAGGCTTTTAAGGCTTTTTCGCGGCTTTCCGAGTGCCGAGGTTATATTTTAGAGCCCGAAGATGCTCCGGATGCCTTCGGATGCTTGTGTGTGACTTCAAACTTCAACAAATTGTGTGAATAGCTTCAAAATCGCTCGATTCGGCCAAAATTCACTTGCGCATGAAACCTGCCTAGCTTGCAGGTGGTGTGGTGGGTGCTGATTGGGCGGTGTGGTGGACTACAGTGGACGGTCCCAGGGACTATAGCCTATAGGAAGCTTAAGCGCCCGCCACCGGCTTTTAATGGGTGCGCTGACTTAGCTCTCTTATGCTTAACCTGTGAACAGCCTGTGGAATCTCCACACCTTGTAGAAAAGCTTTTTTAGTCTCAAGGCTGTGGACAGCCTTAGCAGGTCACGCCGCTAAGGTAATCTTAGATGGCTTCCGAAATTTCGACGCCCCCCCGAGCACGTGACCATAGCTAAGTCAGATCGCATGCGAGCTCGCTTTTTGCTACGAGGCTACGATCATTTATTATAAATCTGCAGCCGATCCATAGCCCGATTATTCTTTAATTGTTTCTTGAACTTCTAATTGGATGCGATCGTTGGGCACTGAGATATTACCTAGGTAAGGTTTGCAAGAGACGGCTTTCTCTGTGGCTATGGTGGGAGTATCGCTCGCCATCTTGGCTACTGTGCTCCGCTTTGTAGCTACGAAAGTTGCTCGTCACAAGTATGGCGCCGAAGACTGGTGTGCCGTCTTAGCTACCTTTTTTTTCATCGCATATGTTACGCCGTTGCTGTACCGTGAGTTGCTACCTACTGTCTACAGTCTTCACTTTAATCAGTTCTATGCTAACCGTGCGCTTCCTCAGTCGTGTCGGTGATGAACGGTAGAAGCACAACGGAACTGACGAGTGCAGATGTCGTGAAAATGACAAAGATATGTGAGCTCACCATGGATAAGTACAACCAAGCTTCTTTTCTCCTCACGTCTCCACTAGGCCAAATACGTCATGTCGGCTCAATTCTGTATGCAGCAGCTGTGTGCGAAATTGTGTCTTGGCTTCCTATATTATCGTTTATTCTGGATCAGTTGGCCGTTTGTTTTGGGTGTCTGGTTTCTCGGCATTGTGCAGCTGCTCTGGTCCATTGTCACTTATTTAGTACACTAGTTCGAAAGTACCCCGCCCGAGAAGCTGTGGAATCAGAACGTCAAAGGCACTTGCGTCAGCGCTCGAGTTTTCCTTGCCGCGGGAGAAACGCCCAATTCACTGGTGGATTTTGCTCTTATTGGGCTGGCGGTCTGGATGGTGCAATCGATGCGGATTGATACTTTATCGAAGGTGAAATTGTCGGTTCTATTCGCCTTTGGTGGTCTGTAAGTACCCCGTACCGCATAAATCGTTGCAGTAGCATTGCTTATATATCGTCCTGTATCATAGTACTATCAGTCATATGTAGTATTACAAGACACTGTCTATGCAGGTTGACGAACCCTACGAACTATGCCCTTTCATTTGGGTGACATGGACTACTCACGATGATTTGATAGTATCGAGACTTTATCACATTTTAATCTTAAATATTCAAGTTAGCTAACGACTACACATATATTTAAAGAGGCAACTCTCAGCGCGCATACTAAGCGTAATCTTTGTTACTTCACAGAAGTGACAGAACGAGTTTGTTAAGGTCGAAACCAGAAAATCAGGATTGTCCTCAAGCAACGAGGAAGAGCTCTAGTGAGCTTCAAGAACTAACTTTATTGCAAATAGAGCTTATGGTTGTCTCATCCGCCCTAACCCGATTCTTTCCCATGTATGCATAAGGAAGTAGTCCGTAAACCTGGACAGACAATAGACCCCCAAGCCTGCTTGTACCGCTGCCAAATATTTAGAACTCGCGACTCTCACCGATAGCACATACGTCAAAGAGTCCCGTCTCAGCAAGGCCCTCGCAGCAGTCCATGGCTATGCATGAATGATAAACTAGGTGATCCGTGAAGAAAAAATATCGCCTCCAAATAGCCGCTTCCTAATAAGTCCAGGCTCTGGTTGCCCGAGTCGAAGCCGTCAGTAAAACAGAGACTTGTAGAAGTGTTGAAGCTAGAACCATGTTTCCCACCTTCAATCTTAGCTGATGAAGTCTTCGGCACGACACACCCGGAAGACCAGAGTTCGCTCCATCACTGGAGACCGCCACAATAGTCGCAATAGCCCCTTCATATATCTTGTCCATGTTGGTAATCTGAATCTGCCTTTCCTGGCTATTCTCTTAATCAATATAGAATTGGTCGGCCTAGAAGTACCAGCCATTAAGAGATCGAACGACAAAGATAGTGTCCTCGATGACTCTCGACACAGTGCCTGGGAGTATGATTTCTCCATCGTGAGACGACCTACATAGTGAAGAATTCTTTGCGGCTCCCCAAACGTAGCTAAGCGCAACGTAACCATCATCGGGATTTGCGGTTACTATTCGTTTCGTGACACAGTCAATGCATTAGCTTCAATCCAGACGATCGTATCACATCATGAACCTGGCAGCTCTGGCTATGAAGGCTCTTGCAATCGGACAGCCACATTTTCATCCTGTCGAGACTAGCATTTTCCTCGTTGATCAACTCCGCTAGCTGGAATTCCGGGCTTCCATCTTTACTCCGGACAGAGCGTATCGCTCCCCTTGCCATAGAGCGACGGCGCCTGACCCCTCCATATGCATTTCTAGAAGATCCATCGCATATGCCGAAGGTAATGGATGAAGGTGGGAGTTGTTCTGTTGAGGATGCAGAAAAGGCACGTAAATGATGACGTTTTTGTGAGCTTGTAAAATTTACCAAATTCTTGTGCCATGTTGCCGTAGAATATGTCAAAGACTCAAAAAGCAAGAACCACATCTTGAAAAGCAAAGAATTCACATCGACTATTCTGGAACTTTCTACCAAATGTCTTAGGTGAACTCGTTGCGGCTCTTTTTCTTTATATGGCTAGATTCACTATGAATCCGATATCTATCGACTTCTTCACGCTCAAAGAAAGTAAATCGACAGACAACAGCAGCGATTCTTCAAGGGAAGCTAACTCAACTTCCTTTCATCTCTCAAATCCTCATTCGTAAGTATTGTCACCTCCAACGGCCGATGGCATGCTTGGCAAAGTCGCAAAAGCTCTCTTGACATATTCACAACAACGCATCTTCCGCAGTACAAATTATATCCAACTTAAAGAGACGCCTCTTGACGGAACAGCTTCAACAGCAACGAGCATCAAGCGTTCTGTCTCCCACACCCAAGCACCAATGCCCGTAATGCGCAAGGAAACTGAAAGAGAACTCGAAAGTGTGCGCGATAGTACAGAGCGGCACAAACTAGCTCCAAAGACGAGCAAATTGGAGACCGCAATTTCCAGCCAATAGTTGATCTGAGCCGGCTAGGAATAAGGAGTGGCATTTGTTCACGTCACCAATGACTCAAGTCAGTGACAGACCGGCCCCTTGGTCCAGATCATGAGAAAACCAGACACGGATTTGAGCAGTAGAATATGATGGTCTGGAAAGCTCTCCATCCAAAACAGATGTTGAATTAAGATTTTGCTTGGCATATGGGCAATGTCATGGCGTGCGCAGCTACAACTCTCAAGTCGGACACAAGCATCAAGCCCAAGTCTGCCAAACAAAGCATCTATTCAAATGACAAGCCAGCTGTTGAACGGACCCCACTTCCCTCTTCCACCAATGGAGGTGATGTTCATGATGATCAGTCACCGATCAGTTCTCATGAGTTCAGTACACGCGGCTCTAGGACACTCATTGCTAGTGGTGATATTTCTGACATGTTGGAGAAGCTCCTTCAGTTCTAGAGTTCCCTGCTACCCTTTTGACAAAGCCAACATGAGGATGGAGAAGATCTTGGGGAGATATCTCTGTTCCTGGCGAGTCAGAGCAAGATTTCGAAAGAGCTCCTCGTCCAACGTTTCATCTCAATCGAATCTCCTCGACATTCTCGAACGCGAGAGACTAAGAAGAAGCAGAAGCACCATCTCTGTTCTCTATTCGAGAACAGAAGAACACGAAACTCCGACAAGCTGAACCTCAACAGAGCACGAAAAAAGCCTCTCCCCAGCCATGAGAACCACCACCCACCCATCCCACCCCAAAACCCATCTCACACAGCATAACAGCACCCGAAAAAGAAACCCAGACAAAACCAAGCAAGAAACAAAAAAGAACATCTTCCCCACTTCACAACCCACAACCCCAACGAGAACAAAATCTCAAAGAACCCTCTCCAGAAGCAGAACATCCGATTCGTACTGTAGGAGAGGACGATTCGGCTGAGACAGCATCTCACCCTAGGAACCCGAGCAATCTCCAGGAATGGACATCCAGTACGACTGACTCTCCATTCAGCAGTGGGCAAGTCAGAAACATTGCGGATGAAGTTGTTGGAAGATTTCAACGCTTCTGCGGGAAGGGGATAGTGTGTATCATGAGCGAGGGCGAGAGTGAAAAGGATAAAATCAGCATAGATTCCACAGCACAAGCCCAGTAACGTACAAGACCCCTGAGCCCATTGGTAAAGAAAAAGGAGGGTCTTGGAGGTTTCCGGTAATGAATGCTTCACCACGAGTGAAGTGTCCCTGAAAAGTGGTTTCCCAGACGAGGAGCATGGATATATGAAGCCACTTGGATCTGGAAGAGATCAAGGGACAGAGAAAGGATTGGGGAGAGCTTTCCAGTTAGTGAGTAACTGATTGAAAAGACTACAAACGTGATCACCTTCGGGGTTTTCACTGCCAGTGCGACAGATACAAGTGATTTGTTTCATTGTTTCGTTGTCATTATTCGTTCGTTATTCTAGGGGCATCTTGCTCGTCCATTGTAAAAGCCAACTCCATGCAAAAGGCTCTATCTGATCCATTTCACCATGCTCCCGTCGTATTTCCATCCATGACAAAAGCATCGAAGAAGCTATTGATAACCCAAGCAAGTATGCCAAACATCTACACTAACGGAAGCTGCGAGATTGCTTGTAAGAGTCGACGTAACCCTGGAATTTCAGCGAACGACCCCAATCCTCTCCGAACATGCTGCCATTTGCCTTGGGATTCGAGTCAACCCAGTCGGGATCAGGCTCGCCGAAACCACTGTACTCGCTCGCAGAACCAATTCCTTTGTCGTGCAGGGATAGCAGGGTGCCGAACGCCGCGCCAAGAATAGGAGCAGCTGCTTCACCAACACTCATCTGATCCATCTCCTTGGCAGTGACCTTTCTGGGGATGACCGATTCGGTAAACTTCTTGCGGGGAGGAGGAGGAAAGGCACCAAAGGTCGTCTCTCTAGCTACCAAGCGCTTTCGCATCTCTTCCGTATGATCATCCATACTCATACCCCACATACGTCGTTGACCGTAGTAGAACCAATCATCTAGTACCTGCTCCTTGCTCACACTACTTTCTCTCTCTGGTAGTCCGGAAGCGATGTCCATTGTGGATTGATCCTTGCGCGACAGTTGTTTGTATTGGTGACCGAAGGTAGGCGGAAGACCGTAGGGGAAGTATTTGTGGGCTTCGGTATCGGGCATGGTATCAACAACCTTGACTGGTTGATATCGGTTGTATTTGTCGAGATCCGCAACTGGAACCGGCGTGGGTTGTCCTGGAATCTGTGCTGCTTGTTGGTAGCCCCAAGTATTGCTTGCCTGGTGTGTTCCCATTGAGTTATACCAATCCGAACCTTCCCATCTTGACGGAGCCGTGTTGTCTTGTGCAACAATGGTATTTGTGATGAGGGAGGGCCGCGCTTGACGCTGACCAGGGGGTCCAGCGGTTAGTGGTTGAGGGTATCCATATGGTCGACTGGGTAGGGGAGGAGCTTCTTGATAGCCACGGCCTTCAGGTCCAAGAAGAGGATTTGATTGTGGTACAGATGGACCGGAGATGCCTGGAGGAGGGAATTGATACTCTCGATTCAGCTCGCCAAGAGGATTGGCAGATGAGGGTTGTGCTCTTGTTGCAGAAAACATAGACAAGCGTTCGCGAGCATATTGCTGATTCGGATTCTCGAACTTGGCCATACGTTGGAGGGTCTGCATTCTGTCGAGGCCTTGGACAGCAGTAGCCTGGGATCGACCACGAGCGTCCTCATCGCACGACTCCTTGACATTGAATGTTTGATGCCTCGAGACCTGCTGCAAGTTGGACCGCTTCAAGGGCGAAGAGGCGTTCGAAGCCACAGATTGAACACCATTGTATGTACCGTATTGCATCATCAAACTGTCCCTCTCTTGTTGCGACAACATTGGCAAAGAGTTCTGGTCCAAGCCCTGAACTGCTTGCACTGCTTGCACTGGTGTAGCCTGCTCGTGCTCCATATTTGGAATTGCAGGTTGGAAGGTTCGAGGGAAGGAATTCTGATTACCGGGGTTCGAGGGACGGGCACTGAGCTGTTGAGCGTAATGCATCGAGTTCGACATATTAAGAGGAGGTGGAGGACCGCGTCTTTGCGCCGAGTGAGGTTGCAGACCTTGAAGAATGGACATTAGAGGACGTCGGTTCGCGCCTTCTCGTTGAATACGGTTGGGGGCTGATAGTTGAGGAAGAAGGTTTGGATTGACAACAGACCCAACTGTTGTATAGGCAATGGGTTGGACAGGCTGTGGTGTGATGGGGACAGGTTCTGGAGATTCATCTGCGGATTTGACAGAAGAGAGATCGGGATCCCAGTCCAAGCTGTCAAAAGCATCCTCACCCGGCTTCGAGATGGGAATAGGCGCCATGGTAGATTGACTCGCGGTTCTGACCGTGTATTGTCGGCTTTGTAGGTGTATTGGCTGAAGAGACGACAGTCACGGAAAGGAAGAACGTGACACCGGAGAACAATCCGGATGATGGAGGAATCGAACACAAACAGAAAACAAGCGGAGCAGGGCTAACTAAGGGTTTGAGCCCCCACGATGCGATTCCGACCTGATTTGGAATCTGGGGAAGGAAGATTGGAAGATCTGACCGTTTTGGAGCTTCGATCTAACCACATTTGCCGACAGCGCTAATTGGCCAATGACTGTTGACTTTCTTTCCTCTCCTTCACTCTCTGTATCTGTATTGTAGACAGGAATCCATCATTGCAATTGCTGCGAAGAAAGGAGAGGAGAACATCACCTACTAAAATCGCAGAAGGTTATCGTTTTCTTTTGCAGGACATAAGGCTGCAATGCAAGGCTGATGATGCATGAAAGGCCACACATTGACCAGGACGTACAATCATGATTGCTGCAGTCTTCGAATAGCAAAGGATTGGGCACAAAGAACGATAATCGACAACAGTGGACGCAATGCGGGACGAAGCAGAAACTCACAGTCTGCAGTGGCAGTTCTGGTCCAGAAAGGCTACTTTGAAGGTATCCCTACCTGCATCTCACTTTCCACAGATCAGATGCTGCAAGACAGTCCTTTTGGCATTTCACAAGCCATAGAATACACACTGATGTACATTGTTGGCTCAAATGCTACCATTGTCTGGCTCTCAAGTCTGTCTGGCCATCTTCCACAACCTACCAAAACCCCTTCCCTCTCCCCTCCTCCCTTTTCACTGCCTCTTCAGATCCCATCCACTGCCTTGCGCGGCATTATGGAGGCTTGCCTGCTAGAATATCAACTTTTCAGTCCTTTCTCAGCAAATCTAGTCTGCGAACTGTGGGGTACGCACTTTGTTCATGTTGACAAGCAACGATCTTCAATGCTTAGTTGCAGATTCCGGCTTTGTTTTGCCATCCAAGTTTGTGGCACTTCCTTTGATTGTCAATTTATACCATCACACTCCATATAGAGGATTCCTTGACATTTGACTTGCTCTGTAACTTGGAAACATCAAACAGATTCCCTCCAAGAGACGTATGCAGAGTGCATCGTCTCGAAGATGCTCCTCGTTTCTTTCAACCAGCGATCTACATCTCGTACCTTAGGGGTTAAACCAGAAGGATTGCCCTTCAGTTATTCATTGTTATCACTGACCACAGGTCAAGCAAGCCGCCACCACCAGCAGAGCCGCCCAAGGGCTGAATTCTCCTCTTTACAGCATACTGAAAGTCCACGCAGATTTCAGATGAGAAAATTCACGGAGTTGGCTCTTGTGCATTGACTTCATGGCCGTCGATGGTGTTGAGCAGTGTTGTTGTATGTGATAGAGCAAAGAATTGTTGGAAGATATGTCGTCAAGTGAGTAAGTCCAGGCAGCTAGGGAGAATTTGTCAGCACGCCAAACCGGCGGCAGCCCCAGCAGGAAATGCTGCACGCGCACACTTCCAACACTTCCAACACTTCCAACACATCCAACACATCCAGCTCCTCTCCGACCGACCCATGCAGTAATGCAGTGGCACAGAACTATCGCCGAAATGCGATGCATACCTTCCTCTTCTAGCTGCGACTCCGGTACCTAGGCTTCAAAGCAGGACGAGGAAGCTCGTGGACATGCGGTCAATATCCCAAGATCGAAGAAGCTGCGTCACCCTGGGCCAGATTGCAACACCATATCGCAAGGCGAAGCCCACAATGCTCGCAAGCGCGATGAAAGGGACGGACACGTTGCCAAGAACCATAAATCCATTGGGCCCGATCTACGTGGGGTACAAAATACCACCAACGTGGTACATGCTACTGCAGAGACTACACCAGACTACTAACGCTATCGCCGGCTGGACCCAGCCGGCACACAATTGATAAGAAGAGGAACATCGCCCGAGGCATACCTTATAAAGAGACCTCTGCAAGCAATCGCGAAGAATCCAATTCGAAATCGCATCTCAGTACAGCCAAGCTTATACCTCGATACTGTAGGGACAATGGCAGACGAGAAGTTGGATCAAAGGCCCTCTCCAGATTCCCCAGAGTCTGCGCCAATTGTTACCAGCAAGCGCCAGCGACTCTCTGACATCTTTACAATTGTATGCACATACTTCCTGCCCTAAAGCTACCACTGACTCTTTGCAGATTGCTTCTGGCGTTGCCCTCATCTCAGATGGCTACTTCAATAACATCATGACCATGGCGAACGTCATCCTTGCGAAAGAATACCCCAAACAGTACACCGCAACAGTCAAGACCCGAGTCTCGAACGCGCTGTTAGTTGGAGAGATTTTTGGGCAGGTGATCGTGGGCTTGACATGCGACTACTTGGGTCGAAAATTTGCTATTGTCACAACCACAATGATGATCGTTATTGGAGGAATACTGGCTACAGCTTCGAATGGATACACAATTGAAGGGTACGTCGCATAGCGATATTGTGTGGCATGATACTGATAGGATACCAGCATGTTTTGGATGATGACTGTCGCCAGAGGAATCGTAGGATTTGGTGTTGGTGGTAAGTGATTCAGGAGCAAAGAATATTGAAATGCTTCTAACTTTTCTTCTAGGCGAGTACCCCGCCTCCTCCACCTCAGCATCAGAAGCAGCCAACGAACATTCGCTCAAGAACCGGGGTCCGATCTTCATTCTCGTAACGAATCTTCCGCTGTCATTCGGAACTCCTCTTGCGGTTTCAGTCTTCCTCATAGTCTTCTCAGCGTGCCATCAGGCCCACTATAGCACTGTTTGGCGGGTGTGTTTCGGCATAGGATGCTTGCTTCCCCTGTCAGTTTTCTACTTCCGGATCCGAATGTTGAACAGTAAGCTTTACCGACGTGGCGCAATCAAAAAAGACGTCCCCTACAAACTGGTTCTTCGATACTATTGGAAGTCCTTGATTGGGACGTGCGGTGCATGGTTCCTCTACGACTTTGTTACATTTCCGAACGGGGTCTTTTCAGGTACCATCATTGCGTCTGTCATCCCCACGTCGTCAAAGCATGTTATACTTCAGACAGCGGAATGGAATCTGCTCCTTGGATCCCTTGCACTACCGGGAGTCTTCCTAGGTGCGTGGCTGTGTACCATCATTGGACGCAAGAACACCATGATGCTTGGCTTCTCCGGATATCTTGTCTTTGGTCTCATCATCGGGTGTGCCTATGATAAGATCACGAAGATCGTGCCTTTGTTCGTCATTTTCTATGGACTGATGCAAAGCTCTGGAAACCTAGGTCCCGGAGACATGCTTGGTCTCATCTCCTCTGAATCGTATGCCACTTCTGTTCGCGGAACGTGTTATGGTCTATCCGCTGCCGTGGGAAAAGCCGGTGCTGCCATTGGTACTCAAGCCTTTACTCCAATCCAAACCCATCTTGGAAAGAGGTGGACTTTTATTATCGCAGCAATTGTCGGAGTTCTTGGGGTTCTTGTCACTTATTTCTTTGTGGAGCCTCTGACGGACGAAGATTTGAGTGCTCGAGATTCAAGGTTCCGCACCTATCTCGTTGAACATGGATGGGATGGGGTGATGGGAGAAGCTGATCTGAAGGCTTTGGCTGACGATGGCCAGGTCCCAGGTGAGGGTATCGAACATGAGACTGTTTTGGCAAGCGAGAAGTAGTTCTCCTCTTGGCTATAGTTCTCGAGGAGAAATATACCTCCACAAACAATGTTATTGAAGCAACTACCAGTCTGAGAATTTACAGGGTCAAACCTCTCGTCTGGAAAACTTATCTACCGGGGTTGGTGCATTCCGGTCTTCTGTTCCTTCTCCACTGGCTGTCAAAAGCGATCTGAAACATTATCCTCGGCAGTTTGTTTCACGACCAACACTATCTCTACCCGTGATTTGCCCAATACGTCGGTATCTTGAGGTGCCTACACACGGACTGAACGTTTCAAACGCCAAGTGGTCTCGGTTACGTAGAGGCCGGGGGCTATGGCCATATCGTACAATCCAGACACGGCCAAGTTGCAAATCCTCTCGGCGATGTTTCTATATTCATCTTTAAGGTAGGAAATCCCCCACACTGTCTTCCAGATGAATGGTCCGGAGAATCTGAAGTGAGACCCACGATCGACGGAGACAGGTTGTGTGCCGAAGCTTTTCGACAGCTGCAATGGCGATCCGTGCTTAAGGTTTGCCGGGTGCTTTGAGACGGATTGTGCTTCTTTTGGAACCAGGTCGTTGCACTGGGCCTCCACATCCAGTTTCTGGTTGTGGAGTCAGTCCTTATCTGTAGCGTCGACGAGTCTTCATATAGATTGTTGACCCACAAACTACGATCAGCAGTGGTTTGCACTTGTTTCCTTGTGTTGAGGGGTAAGATGGTTATGATGGAACTGATTCAAGGTGATGAGGAACACCTCTGGCAGCTTGCTAGAAGGGACGACGGTGACGACGATGGAGATGATGATGGCAATTCTTCAACAACCACAGATTCCTCTTCGACGCCAACTCCAGCTCCTCCTTCTGGTCCGCCGCCAAAACCAAAGCCAAAACCATCTCCAGATACGAATACCAATACCGTCACGTCCTCAACGTCGATGATAGTGGTCGCTACATCCACTTCGACCACAGTCAAAACGTCTACCTCGTCTGTAAGTTCTCGATGTCGCGTCTAGATTCAGGTGATCTGATAAGCCTCAAGCCTTTCAGCCAAACTTTCAGTGTTACACCTTTCCTTACCATATCATCTACCTCCACCACATTCTCGACCCTTCAACTATCGTCCACCCAAGGCCAGCATGGGTTAGCCTCCGCAGCACCTATTCAATCATCTGCGACATCCACGCCAAGTTCGGCCGCTGATGGCATATCAGACACTTCAAATGACAGTACGGGCTTCTTCATCGGTATCGGTGTAGCAATCGGAGGTGAGATCCATTCATTGGAACTTTTAGTCTCTGACCGACATTCTCCTCACATGTTCATCCTCTCTAACACCCTCCAGCAAGCGCAGCAATAATCCTCTCAGCCCTCTACTTCCTCTACAGACACCGCCGTACCCGCAATCGCTCCATCTCCAGCACCACTCAAACACACTACCACACACATCACCACTCCGACGCTTCAGTATACAGCGCTCAATTCACCCTCGCGAAAGGACCCATCACGCCTGTATCCCCCATATCAACCAACACCTACCCAACTCCCGGCCCACCCGTCCCCTCAAAATCCACCGTCGCCGACCCCGACGAAATCCCATCATCCTTCCACCCCGACGGCCTAGGCAAACACCCCGTAGTCCACGGGCCCCCTCATCCTCCCCTCTTATTCACCCCCCAAAGCGTGTTTCTCAAAGAACAAAAAGTCTCCACTCCCGTCACGGTGTCGACCGGAATCCTGAAACCCACGAATTCGAATTCGAATTCGAAAGAGCAGAAGAAAGCATCGGCGAAAACAAGAGCAACGTCTGCGCCAATAGGGGTCGATGTATTGAAATACGAGAGGGAGCGCGAATTAGCGGCAGAGGTGGAGAAGGAGAGTATGGGGAAGGAGTGGGAGATTGCGAGGAAGAGGGGCACGGGGGAGGGCAGTGTGGGGGCTGGGAGTGTGGAGAGTTTGCCGAGGTGGAGGGACGCGGTTACGTGGGTTCGGGATCAGAGGGCGAGGATGTTGGGGAGGGAGAGGTTGTGATGTTCGTTGGTGGTGGAGGAAGGTTTTTTTCGAAGTTTGTATTTTAGTTTCGCTTCTATGTAGGAATGGAAATATTTGAATAAGCTATGTAGAGAGTTGAGAGCGAGCTGTCTAGTCTTGTCTTTGCTACTTTGTGCGTTAACTAATGGGAGTGAGAGATAAAGAGTGGCGATCAAATCTTGACATCATTGCCAAGCCCGAGGGTGTCTTGATCTTACGGAATAGGGGCTCGGTAATGTACCCAGTCTCGAAGGCTTATTATGCCCCCTATTCTAAGCGATGTCAGACTAACCACAACTCGCATTCAGAATCCTGCGCTAACCCAATTTCGCATTTTTACCTGCGAGCAAAAGTATAATTTCACAACTTTACGGACATAGGTCTTTAACATGAGCTATTCCATAAAATAAGAGTCCTTACGGGGCAATGATCACGCCGAGAATCGGCCTTGAAAGTATATCTTATCCGAGTCGGATAGTTCATTTTCGCCCAGACCGACAAATTGTGACAATCAATATATGTCTATCCACTCCCCGCCAACACCTCGATCACTGCTGAGTTCTTTCATCTAAGCAAATCAAATTTCTACTCTTCATGCCTTCAATCACAGAACACCACGTCCTAATCGTCGGCGGAACCTCAGGAATCGGCTTCGCAGTCGCCGAACTGGCCTTAGCATCCGGTTGCACCGTAGCAATCGCCTCATCAAACCCAACCCGCATCTCCTCCGCCATCATTCGTCTCCAAGCCTCCTTCCTAGACAAAAAGTCCCTAATCTCCGGCCATGAAATCGATCTCCAAACACCAGACATCGAAGCCCGCCTCACAACCCTCTTCGATGCCGTCACCTCCAACAAATCGAAACTCTTGAACCACATAGTGTTCACCGCAGGCCGAATCCCGAAATTGAAACCCCTACCAGAAATGGACATCATCTCAACCCTAAACCTCACCCAATCATCCCTCTCCGCGCCCCTCGCGCTCGGGAAACTCGCTCCACCCTACCTCGTGCCCTCCTACAGCTCCTCCATCACCTTAACCGGGGGCCGCGTAGCTGACAAACCCCTGCCAAACTACACGCTCTTCTCGTTCTACGCCTCCGGTCTGCACGGACTCGTCAAAAGCCTCGCGTTCGACCTGGCGCCGATTAGGGTTAACATGGCGAGTCCGGGCGCGACGGTGACGGAGATGTGGGGGCCGGAGGAGGTGAGGGAGATGATGGCGAAGAAAGTGGGGGAGACGGCGTTGTTGGGGAAGGTGGGGAGTGCGGAGGAGGTAGCGGAGGGGTATGTTTATTTCATGCGGGATTGGAATGTGACGGGGGAGGTGCTCAGGAGTGAAGGGGGCGCGATTTTGCAGTAAATGGGAGGGATGAGGGAGGAGAAGCGACACGAAAAGGGGGGTCTAGCGAGAGCATGAAGGTCCTTGGTTAGGCTGGAGATGTCAGTCTAATTATCGCTCAGATCTCTCAAAATGTAGACTTCTACCGATATGAAGGAAAAGGGTTATACTTTTCACTAAGCTCACTTGAGCAGCTCGGCCTAAAGCTCTTTCTGCGAAAATTGCGCGAGTTGCGCAAATTCAAAAAATATTCAACTTCTTCTATTCCTTAGAAAGTGATACAAGCTTCTTCAGCCTGCTTGATTTCAGGCGCATAATTTTTAAAATAAATCGTCTTTATAATGAATAAAAAATTTTCGAATATCAAAAAACAAGATTCGTTATTAACAGTAAAATAATATTAAGAAAAGCAAACGTATGCGGTTGCGGGAGGTCATGTGGAGGAATGAAGTGGGCATGTAATACAACACTAGTGCCCTTTTAGGCTTAGATTAGCGCGGAATGACCCACTGACCGCCTTGACGGGCGCCGTTTTTCTCTTACAAACAGCTAGCCTTCCGCATTTTGACTTTGAAGCTTATACAACTTGTTTGAGCCGTTTAGTTATTTGGACATCACTTGGCTTATTGTTGTGTCTCTTTGACTGTGTTTGGACTTGTTCCCTACTTTAGAGATATAATGCTAGTTAAAGCCCGTCCTGTCAACGAATCAATACAAGAGATCAACGACAATTCTTGGGTCATTGGGGATAGAATCCTCCTCTCTCGACGACGCTCGCCTCTGTCCGGCTTCACGTGGGGTGATGGCAGAGGCTCATTTTACGTCATTTCCGAGGCCCCATACCCACTACCGCCATCTCGACCCCTGTCAGCCACGACCCCCTTCGAGAAGGTCTATGATGCTGGGGGGGTATCAGCAGTCTGGAGCATCGGCGACGCCTTCTGCAAAGTCAAAATCTTGCATCCGGACGCAACACGAGAACACGTTACGTTGGACTATCTCCACAGCAAATGCCCCTTGAGCTTTGCAATTCCAGAGGTTCACTACCATGCAGAATATGATGGTCGACACTATATTGTCCTGAGTAGATTGCCTGGCCATACTCTCACGAACGCGTGGCAGAACATGGACGAGGAAATGAAGCAATACTATGTTTCCCGAGTTGCGAATATCTGCAAGGAGCTAGCGGTATGGCAGGCAGATTATATTAGTGGTGTTGATGGCCGTCACTTGTCAGAGACATATCTTACTCGGCTCGGGCAGTCCGAAGATTGCAGCCCTGAAAATCTTCTCACTAATTGTAAGGGTCTTGGTATGGATTGTTCTATATTCGTGCTCTATCACTACGACTTGGGGCCCGGAAATATAATTGTGAACCTCGCGGACGGGTCGATGGGCATCATTGATTGGGAGACGGCTGGATTTGTTCCTAGGGAATGGATTAGGACCAAGTTCCGCGTTTCAGGTGGAATGGACCTGCCAGGTAGTGACCAAGAATTGAGAGTGGATTGGAGACGGCGCGTTCAGAGGCGATTGGGGGAGGAGGGATTTCCTGATATTGCAGACCGATGGATGGTATGGTGGAGAAACGAGGCTTGATTTCTGTTTCTTGCTAAATACTACTACTAGATAGTTCAATCTAGGCTAGCAAGAACCTCGCCTCCGACCACATGGGCAACCTGCTATGTTTGTTTCCAAACTTTGTACTCTTTCGTCCGACCACTACATTCACTTGGCCCTTGTATGCCATCTTTTCGCAGGACTAGAAGCTGCACTATGTTAGAAATCTTCCCAGGATATATGGTTGATAGGTATCTACACACAAAGCTCCAGTCTCGTTACACGACTACGGCAAGCTCTTTACCACACGTGCTGCAGTCGCTCTTCGTTCCTGCACAGGTCGTAGCTTTTGTTATATTGTTATATCCACACTCGGGACAGTTGAGTAGAGGCAGAAATGTAGGAAATATGCAGCACCTTATACGCTGCCAAAGAGTAGGGAATTCGCATGTGACCGCAGTTTGAGGGCGCGTGATATGCGGCTGCAAACACTGGCTCGGGCGTGTGAGTCCTTTGACAGGGACCGCAAGTGCCGTCGCCCATTTTCAGGAGGAGATGCAGGCGCCTCCTTTTCAGTCGTGTAACACTGGTATCTAGAGCGGGGTGGATGGAAGACTTCAATGTAATTCATCCACGAATCGAGCCCTATCGCGCCCGAAGGATTTCGGTGAGAGCCTGCAAATCATCGTGATATAGCGAAAAATTAATCGTCGACTTCGCGTGGCTGGCCGATTTTATCGCTGCTATTTTAAATCGGCGGAAGCGAAATATATATAATCGCGAAACACGGATTATTAAAAATATAGAAAAAAAATTATAAAAATTAAATAAATAAAAAACAAATCAATTGTTTAAATAATGCCTTTGAAGCTATAAATGATAATAATAAAAATCATGTATTTCGGAATAAATTACATGCGCTCAAGCGAATTCACTATTAATAGTTAACCTTATATCGGGTTTGAACTTGATCCTCACGCGGAGTTCCGTTGCCCGAAAATGTACTTCTCTTTATACTCGCAAACGATCTAGCTTTCTCTAGACAAACAACGTCCGCGACACAGCAGAAAGCACTTCATCAACGGTAAAATCATCCACTCCTTAACATTAATAGAGTCTCAAGCCAACAGATCTGAAGACCAACATGTCTTACCGTCCACGCATCCGAGTGTGGCGCAAAGTCGAAGACTACGAGACATTGTTGCAAACATGTCATGATCGGGGCATCACGTTGAAGCTCACCGACAATCAACTTCGAGAGAGACCATATGAGCACGATATTGCTGAAGTACATGCCGATGATCAGGCGGTGAGGCCGAACCCGTATCCAACGATGAACTTCACAAACTCCCCGTCAAACCTAGGCAAGACGCGTTGGACATGTACGTCAACTGCATCCAAACAGCAAACCAAGAGTTGCATGAGGTCCGATTGACTCATCGAGAGCATGTCCACAAGCAAGCAGCTGAGATGCCTGGGCATCTAGCAGAGGTAGTTGCAATCTTCGAGAAGATCCTGGGTCTCGTCAAGCTACCTAGCAATTCCAGACGCAACTGGGCCAACAAGAGCAAGGACAACATCGATAAAGAGGCTGCCCTGTACGAGGAACCAAGGACATTCTTTGTAAATGCATGCCCGGAGTTTTGCTCAGTGCGAACCGGATGTATACTGATTATGCTCAAGAACGTCCGAGCTGCTTGGTGAAGGCCGTGAAGCTACCATTTCGCGGTGCTAAGCCTAATGGCCAGAAGGAAGCCGTTTACCACCAGGTGTGTTTGCTTTTCCTTATGTATGAGTAGTAATTATAGAGTCAGTGACAAGTAATGACATAGTCACTGCAAAACGCTGGTAAGGTTGCCACTGAGGAACCCTCTTCTAAGAAACGCCCACGCAACTGAGTCTTTCAAACTACGATGTAGACTTTCGAGTAAAGTTCTTGAATTGATTTGATCTTGATTTGAGGTTATTTTAGGTACGAGGCGTACTCTGGGTCGACATGGCAATGCGATTGTGGGAATAGATATGGTCAATGCATGCGAAACCGATGTGATATGCACAACTATGATCTTAGGTCATGAAGGTAGGGTACTTCGTCGTATGTTTTCGATCATCTTCATAGATAATGAAGAGCTTTCGGCATACAGCAGACATTTGTCAGATTGCAATGTCCTTGGGTCATTTAGGTCAATGTATTGAACTGAATTTTTCATTCGTGATCTAGAAGATTGTATATTTTCCAGCTAGTGTACCAATGGCCGAAATTGTCTTCATGATCGGTACAAAATGAGGTATAATTACGTAAATCGCTTGGTCTTCCGTTCTAGAGGAGAGTGCTTGATCATGTCAAAGAATATTTGCACAGACTCCTCGGGTTTCTAAGGAATCTTGGAAGTTGGAGCGCTTCTGTAGAGAAGTCCATCGAGAAGCTCATCTGCTTTTGCCTCGGAAGTGGGAGACCGCTCATTGATTATGTCACGTAGAACCTGTGCTGCTCCTGGCTCATTGACACCCTTGGAAGTCTACAAAAATCACGTGACGAGTTTTTACCTGATCTGATTGTACTCAAAGTGACTTGTCAGAAAACTCCGCGGATTCCATTTGCTATTACTAGTCAAAGATGTCCGAATACCATGCTGAATACCATGCTTAGCTCTAAACGCCAGTCCAATATGCAAATCCTTTTCTCAATGCTCTAGTTGCTTGCCATCAGAAACCTCCAAAGTGCCAAAGGTTATCTTGAAAGAACATGATCTAGATCAATTGTTAAAACAACTCGAATGCTTCAGAATAATAATCTACATACCAAAGACGTCATATTGTGAGAGACTAAGTTGCCTGTTCCGCGCCATCTCCATGTCCAACTACGTAGAGGTAATACATCTTGTAGACGAAGGTAAGAACTCCACCGATCAGGATGAGAGCGGCGGTTGGTTCTCTGGAGCAGATCCAACAGTGGCGGAGGCGCGATGGAGGAGGGCCTCTGACAGGAGGTTGATAGGTATGGCCGTATGGGCCAGCCGATCGCGGGGCAGTGCCAGCAGAAGTGGCAGCTGCTTCGTGGCCACTTAAGGCGTTGCCGTGAGGAGTCGAGGCGTTGCCGCCAGCAGCAACAGTAGCAGCTACTAGATGAGGAGTCGAAGCGTTATCGCCAGCAACAGCAGTGGCAGCTACTAGATGAGGTGTCGAGACGTTATCGCCAGCACCAGCAGTAACAGCTACTGAACGAGGAGTTGAGGCTTTGTCGCCAGCGGGGTTGTTGGGGTTGGGGTCGGAGTGAGACATTTCGTAGTGTGGGGGGCGTTCTTGATAGGCAGGAGGTTCGGTTTCGCGATCTGAGTTGACGGTGCGGTTGTGGTTTAAGTTATTAAGATTGAGGCTGCTAGCACCAAGGCTGGAATCCCGAGTATTTGTGCACAGATCGCCTTGCGCCGTGCTAGTCTTGTCGGGGCTGGCCATGTTGCGATCAGGTAGCATCGCGGCTTGGATGTTGGCAAGACACCAAAGTTCTTGAATATGGTCGTTGAGATTGGGATTGTTATTGTTTTACAAGAAAAGAGAGCTACGATATTGAACTACTTTAATTCCAGGGGGCCGTGCGCCAGTAGTTAAACGATCAGCTGACCATCATCTCTTGATGGTATTGAAATTTGAAATTGTATTGTTTACCATTGACAGACTCTTTATCCCGCCTATTCTATAATCCTTCCTTTAATTCGAGTGCTTGCGTTTGAATAACAAAATAGTAAGGACACAAGGATGTTGAAATCACCATTACACATGAAACTTCACATAACCTGCTACTTTTCCTTATAAATTAGGATAGCAGGCCAGAAAGTATGGGGAGTTTAAGGGTAGTTAAATAAGTGTGTCATGTGATTTATTATTAATGCGCCAAGTGAAGTAAAAGTGGCGAGTTTTAATTGGTTGGGAGCATGAATAGAGAATATGAGCTGGGGAGTATGAGTTGGGGAGCATGAGCTGGGAGTATAAGCTGGGAGTTTGAATTGGGAGCTTAAGCTGGGAGCTTGAGAGCTGGGAATAAGAGCTGGGAATAAGAGCTAAACTGAGTAAAGGAGAATATCACCTAACTTACATGTAAACTTAAATAAAGCTTAAAAATGAGGAAGCAAAAGGAAAGGACTTAAAGTTTATATAAAAAAGAATGCCTAAGCTGAAACAAAATTTCAAATAAAGGCTGGGACTTTTTCCCCGACCCTCCTCGAGGCTGAAACTAGCAACGTAGCTTTTTTAAAAATAAAGCTTTTAATAAATTTCAAATATTAGTTAAGAACTAAAAGTTGATACATTAATGCAAAAGCTTAATTCAACGGCTAAGCGTGCAAATTTATTGAAAAATCGAGTCTTTATTTATTATAAAAATAATGTTTTCAAGCTCTCAAACTTAAGAACAAAAAGTCACGAAGCAAAAGCATTAATAATCTTTTTATTCCTTATTATATTAATAAATCAGAAGTAAAGTAATTCCTAATATTATTATATTATACTGTAATATTAATATAAACATAAATTGCTATCTCGGATATAAGAATCACGTTAAATTACTGCTTTAAGATAAATTTCCTAATCGAGAACACCAAACCATTCCAAAACACTTTTGCATTGCTTATCCACGATAGCATTCTATCTTTCCAGTCTTTATTGCCGCAACAGCTAAAAGAGCGGGCACTTTACATTCCGACAGAAGCGCTACGTGGCGCATGTAATAGGAAGTCATAAGTGACTATCCGCTCTACCTTCATGACTCGGGGCTGTAAATGTCTTGGGATTTGAAGTCGACTCAGGTCCTGTAATTCTCAGACCGTTGGGGATCCCAAAACATTTGAAATGCTAAACGACATGACAGGTCTTACCAATCTTACAGATTATTCATGATCTCTTCTCTGATCCTGTCAACCTCACGTCGTGTGAAATATCGCGAAGCGCTAAGGGAGACTCCAGATCGCAAACACTTACGCCAGTGCCTTCACGATGCACTCTATTGATTTCTGCCCATCATTCCGTGCTGACAATACAATTATATTTCTTTCGCATCGTGAGATGCGGAACTGTTGAGAGTTCGTTCATGTTGAGACATTTTTCCGAGGCATTGCGCTATCGTTAACCTTGGCGCAGGCATATCCGTGACCTCTGCCACCACGAAATAGGAAAATTGTCTCGGAGGCTATGTTCAGCTCCGATAATCTACACTCTTTCTGTTGATTTTGCTGTACATTCTTTCACGATGGGAATGTGGCAGGTGCGAGCAAGTCTCAGCATTTGACTATATGATAACTCCTGGTAGTGCTTCAATTTCACTCTCATCCTCTCATCTTACCTCACTCTTATCCTACTCGACTTTTATCCTACCTCACTTTTATCCTACCTCGCTCCCATACTTTACAGAACCTAGACTTCAAGATGCATTTCTCTCCTTTGTCTTCCAGTGCTGTCATTCTCATTGCGACCCTTAGCAACGCAGCACCAGTCACGACTATTATCCCCGGTGTGAACATCACCTCAACCAACGCTGCAGCTGAGAACCTCATCCCCAACAGCTGGTTCTTAGTATACACGAACGGCACCAGCGATGCAGATTTCAACAACCACATCCAGAAAATTCACACCAAACTCGGCAAAACCCCAAGCTCGACCTTCAACCTCAATGGCTTCAAAGCCATCCTCATGGATACGGACGCCACCGGCCTCGCGCAGATTGGAACTGATGCAGTGGTAAGTTCTTTTTCAACTATACCAATTTAATAGTTGTGCTAACGAGTCGTAGATCGATCACGTCGAATACAACGTGCAGATGTCTCTCGATCCAATGCTCGCCGCCAGCGCTGTGACCAAGAAAACCAGCCCAGCACCCATCAAAAACAGCAACCAACTCAACGCCCCTTGGGGACTCTCTCGAATCTCCCACAAAAACCTCGGTAAATATACCGACTACCTGTACGACTCCTCTGCGTGCGATGGCACAGTTGCCTACGTCCTCGACACCGGGATCATGGTCTCGCACAAAGATTTCGGAGGCCGTGCTTCGTGGGGGCGCGAATTTTGTTCCGAATGAGCCGGTAGGTTGTCTGATACCCAATTAGAAGACTTTAGATGCTGATGGGTTCGTGTCAGGATACCGATATCGAGGGACACGGCACACATTGCGCGGGCATCGTCATCGGAGAGGAATCCGGCGTCTGCAAATTTGGCGAAGCTGTCGCCGTCAAAGTGATAAACAAGACCGGTTATGCAGACTATGATGCCCTCATGCAGGGCATGTCATGGGGTTCGTCGTCTCCTTTCCCTCTTCTCCCTCCGTACTTGACTAAATCTGACTCTAGCATATTTCGACGCCATCAAAACGGGCAAAACTGCACAAGTCCGTCCAAACAATCTCGATCGCCGGTCCCTATTCTCCAATGTTGAACGCTCTCGTGAACGCGGTTGTCTTGGGCGGTATGCCCGTTGTCGTCTCAGCCGGAAACCAGGGAGCCGATGCGTCTGATTACTCGCCTGGATCTGCTCTGGACTCTATGACGACCGGGGCTATTGACCAGAATGACAACAGGCCTAATTGGTCCAACTGGGGGCCTAGCGTTTATATTTTTGCTCCTGGGGTGGATATTGAGAGTACATGGATTACTTGTGATACTTGCTACCTGACTCAGAGTGGCACGAGTATGGGTGAGTTGTTCTCTGTTGGAATCTTTCGAAATAAAAGCTAATCGTGTTGTAGCGGCGCCGCACATGGCGGGGTTGGCCATGTATTTTATGGCGAAGGAGAATCTGGTTATACCTATGACTGTGATCCAGGCAGTTATTGGCGCTGCGAGCGTGGGGTTGGTTGGTAATCCGCAAGGAAGTTACAATAAGATTGGGTACAATGCGGATGGTGCTTGATGGAGATGTTGCTCGGGACATTGTTTAGGCGAAATGAGAGGTTGTGGGGTGTTTCCTAACTATTGTTTGTCTTTTTAACGTTGTACTACCATTTTGATTAGAGCCATGTTTGAAGATGAGAGAGATTCACATACTGTGTTCTTTGTTCTTCCAAGCTGTCGCCAGCATTCAAAATTGATTTAAACTTCGACTCTACCTTTCACAAATCCGTGTCCATCAACTCGGCTTCCAAAGATAGGCCACGCGTTAGAAGACCTGGATCTGGACCCGGAGTTGACGAGTGTGAGACTCCGTTTCGGGAAATGAGAACAACCTAGCACTTGCTGCAATACGAGGAAAAGAAATGCAAATACATGAAGCAAATATAGGGGACGAACGTTGATCACATGTATTATTCAAATCAACACACAGTCCATACTGAAAAGTTCGCCAAAAGATAGACATTAACAAAACTCATACAACATAATCATGATAAACCCAGACCGATTTTCCGTTCCAACCGTGACATACATTACATTATCCAACAATATATAGAAGTACAGACCAGCTCTAATATACAAGAATATAAAGAGACGATTAATAAGACTCAATCTTTGCAAGGCTTGACAACATCAAGAAGTGAGCGGCCACCCACGTTCGCTTACTTCGGGCGTAGTTCTGTAAGGAACATACGTATGAGGAGGATTTCGCAGCGAATTCAAGCCCTGCATTTCATATACTTGTCGTCCATCTAGCTCAAACGTTGGTCCATATGCTGTCACTGGATCAGACATCGAATTAGTGCTTCTCGCCTGGCTTTGAGGGAGACGTTCTTCCAGTTGAGCAATCTGTGCCCTGAGACTAGCGAGACGGCGCTCTGCATCCTCGGTAGTGGGAGGTGAGTATGTATTGACGGCCGGTCCTGAGTAAGATGGGCGTGGGTCGGAAGGTTTTTCTGGTGGTCGCCTATTGGTTGGATATCTCTCAGGAGGGGAGTAATACTCTCTGCCTTGTGTTGTGTCATACGCAGCTGGATCAGAAGAAAGAGGCCGTCCTTTCTCTGGACGTGGGGAGCTATAAGGTTCAGCAGCATAGTTTGGAGGAGGTGAGTAGGGCATGGGCATTTGCGGAACCGGAGGCTGCTCCTGTGGTTTGAATGTACCACCCCACATCTCAGCATCTCTATTCCGCGATCCTCCAAATTCGTTTGTTGGAGAAGATGGAAGCATATGTCTCATACTTCTGCGAGTAAGGCGTGATCTTTGAAGGACGTCGAAATTGTTGGGCATACTTGCAGACAAATTGTCCACATTGTCATCACTATCCCCATCTTCGTACTGTTGCACAGCGTCATTCAACATCTCGCGTACCTTTCGTTTCCTTTCGTCTGCAATGTCGCTAGCATCGGAAAATCCGAGCGTAGCCGGATTAAGCATCATGACCAGGCCGCCAGAATCTTCACCGTAATCAACGAGTCCCGCTCCTTCGAGAAGAAGGACTTGAACCACTTCCGGATGAGCGTAATATGCAGCATAGCGAAGAGGAATATAGCCATATTCGTCGCGTTGTTTGACCGAAGCACCTTTGCGTATCAGTAACTGGACAAGGTGAGCATGTCCAGCTCTTGCCGCAATACAGAGCGGCGAGTCCTCGTTCGGACGATTCTTGAATGGCATGCGAAGGGGTTCTCCATAACCCAAAAGCTTCTCGACAACTTCAGAATGGCCATGGATGCATGCAATACAGAGTGCTCGATCTCCAGCGGCATCACGGACATTGAGACTTGAGCCCCTTTCATAGAGGGTTTCAATGATTTCGGTTGATCCATTTGCGGCAGCAATGTGGATAGGTTGTCTACCATCCCTCGCCATCGGTGCTTCAACGCGAGCCCCGGCATTGAGAAGAAGACGTACAATGTCCGAGCTGATCGAGCTACACGCACAATGCAGTGGTGTTCGTCCTTCTCGACAAGATGTCTCAACTGACGCATTCTTCTGAAGCAAGAAGTCCACCAGTGAGAAATGAAGTCCAAGAACAGCCAGGTGAAGCGCAGTTAAACCATCGCTATCGGATTCGTGGATTGGCATCTTCCACGTGAGCAGATACTCGGCGATTTCCAGGTGCCCATTTCTGGAGGCCCAATGTAATGCATTTGCTTTTTTGTTGTCAACACTGCGAATTGTTGCTCTCTTCTTCAGCAGAAGTTTGGCAATCTCGAAATGGCCCGAGGCAGCTGCACAAATCAATGGAGACTTCAAATTCTTTCCTCGAGCTTCAATGTTGGCTCCTTTTTGAAGGAGGAATTCTACAACGCCATGATGTCCTAGCTCGCAAGCGTGGTGAAGGGCAGTCATAGAATTGCCATCACGAGCTTCAATGTGAGCATTGTGGCGTAGCAAAAGTTCAACAATCTCCTTGTCACCTTGCTTCGTTGCCGCATGCAAAGCTGTCAACTGATTACTAGCCCGAGCGTTGATTTTTGCTCCTCGCTTCAAAAGCATCTCGACCGCCTTGTGGTAGCCTCGATCGGAAGCCATAAATAGGGCTGTTCGACCGTTGATGTCCTCAGCCTCGATGTCAACATCTTCATTGAGAAGCAACGCCATGACTGCGCAATGGCCCCTCGAGGATGCGAGATGAAGTGGAGTAGAGAGATCATTGTCCCGGGTGTCAAGTCTCGCGTTGTGACGAATTAAAAGAACTACCACCTTGACAGCACCACAGTGAGCAGCAACGGCAAGGGCTGTGCGTTGTGTCAACTCATGCCGAACTTCAACATCGTCGCCGTCATCTAGTAATTTCTCAAGCTCGACCATATTTCCAGCTTGTGCGTTTCTGACTAGAGCTGGTGTGTCTAGTCCATCCCAGGATCCAAAGTCAATACTTTGGTTCAAGTTCGGATCCCTGTCCTTTCTCATCCGATTCCCAGAACCCAGAGAAGGCCCAGCGGAGTACGCTCGTTGTGTGGATGGCAGTTTCGAGACGCCGAAAGTGTTCAGGCGCTTGAGTCTAGATTGCCAGGATTTCTTCTCTCTCTGACCAGAGCCTCCATCCCTTGGAGACTGTGATTCCGACGAAGATGATGCTGAAGACAGCCACTTGAGGACAGCAGGTTCAGACGCGATGCTAGGGCTTCGTTGAACCGTTGCATTATAAAGGTCTCCAGCGGTTTGGCCGCTCCCTGCTAAGTATTGATCTCTCGAATTTACCCGTTGTTGTAGGCCTTCGAAACCGAACCTGGATGGCCTCCCAATAGACTGCATATGAAGGGGGCTATTAGGTTCTGGCGAAGCCACGAGCCTTGATCCTTCTTCCTCGGGAATCCTAGCCTGTGTAGCCTCGAAAGTTCGGAGTCGTGGAAGGACATTGGAGCGTGCAGAATCCCGCCTTCCCGGATTGTTTAAATAAGGTAGCGACTGTGTAAGGTTGTGGTCGAAGTCCAAGACGGTCCCTCCTCCTGTGGATTCTCGAGCGCTGCGAGCCACTTGTGATGCCAACGAGCTTTGAGAACCTCGTAGTGTTGCAGTATCATCGACGACCCTTTGTATCAACTTTTGATTCTCCCTCATTTCCATCAGTCTCGTTTGCGCATAGGAGTCGGAACTATGTGATGTTAGCAGACGAAAGCGATATTCTGATCGCTTCGACTTACCATTGTCCGGCGAGTAGAAGCAGTTGCAAGGCTTGAACCTGCCCATGCAGCATGTCTTGATGTGCTTTCATTGTTTCATGGTTCCATGTTGCCTTTGCTCGTGCTCTCATTCCAAGCCTCGGGGGCATTTGTCCCTCAGGCAACTCGACTCCAGCCATGAGGTCTTTAACTTCTTCCCCTAGCACATCCATGGCGGCTTGACACCCGTCTAGAGATTTATTGAGACCGTCCAAGAACTGCACACTCTTCGGAGAATCATCGAAGCTGTAATTGGCCCAATCGTGAATTTGCAGGATAGCAGCCTTGATAGTAGAGAGCCTGCTGATGAGGAGTCGAATGGTGATGTCGGCATCTTGATATTTCCCTTTTAGTGTGTTGAGGCCTTGGACCGTCGATCCGATAAACTGCACAATCTGTAAGGCCGACGATACAACTCCAATTGCGGTGATAGGGTCCATAGCGTGGTTTGTAGCTTACAGCCTCGTGAGACCCGTTTGTAACTTTACATAGGTGCAGCAATTAACAGATTTGCCTCCTCAATCGACGAACCTGGATATTGGACACTGAACTTGGAAGAGGAGCAACATAGAAATGGAGAGAGGGGAGAAGAAAGAAGGTCAATCCAAGGACCAAGAGCGCTCACCGTGAAGACACATCGCTGCAGGGCGACGCGAGATACTGTACGTCTCGACTAAGAAGCAACCTACACCCTCTTCTTGCGTGCTTCGAAAGAGCTGGTGTCATGTGTCTTACCCGGCGGCGCGGTGTATCTCGTCGGAAGCCCCAATCACGATTGGTAATTGATAGAGTCTGCATTCGAGACCACTGAATGCCCCTCTTGCTGACGCACTCTATCGTTGTTGTTGTGACAGATGTGCCCTGGAGTCTGCCTCGCAGGCTGCGGCAGCAGCACGGCGTCGCACTAGGCAATTGAACTTAGCTGCATCTGGTGGCGTCTTGCAGCCTCGCCAAGGTGCATGCCAAGTGGGATAGAGAATCAGGTTTTGCTGAGGCATTTTTTGATTCCAAAGTAGATGTTGAGTTTCCGAGCAGTTGCCAATAATTCGGAGAGAAGAGAGGAGGAGAGAAAGTAGCAAGAAACAAAGCACAGAAGTAACCTTAGGCGCTTAGTCAGCGAACCTTGACCTTGGCCCAGTACCACAACCACACTCCGATATTTGCCAGAGCATGAAAGTCCCATCCACTGTTGAGCCTTGCCCCTCTCTCGCCTCTCTAATCCAAATCAATTGCTCTTGATGTCAGTGTTTCTCCAAATCAATTGATCAACTCGTTCATGCACCGACTCCAACACCATGGTACTACCCGTCATCAGGGCAGCTGAGACAATGGAAAGAAGCAGCTTTTGCGAGACGGAAAGTGACCCCAGGAGCGGGTAAGGGTACCTGAGGAGTATTAACTATCATAAGTCTCAAATCTTATCACGACGGCCTACCATCCATTTACAGAAAAACAATACTCAATCCAGCTCCAATACGAAAAAGTCAGAACCAAATCAAGCAACACCACGTTCAAGATTTTCATTGACCACGGAGGACTCAAGGCCATCAAGTCCAGAGTCAGCATGAGAGCGGGAATAGCATGGAAACCAAAGTCTGGAATGAACGGGACTTCATGGTCAGGAGGAACCACAAGCTTCTTGTCAATGGTGCGAAGAGTCCAGTATAGGATAGTGACAAGAACCTCAAGAGGAGTTGCACATATTGAGAGCCAGTTCTTGACTGCAAAGAGCTGTTGGCCGAGAGAAAGATCGGCAAAGAGACTCAAGTTAGCCAAGAAGCCGACTCCAAATGTGATCGTTGATATGGTGAGGGCAATGATGGTTAAGAACTGGTAAGAGCCCCCAAATCCATTGTGCAGAGGGTTCGTGATGTTTGGGAGCCACCAAAAAGAGGCAGCAAAAAACATGAGGCCAGTCACGTGGATACTGAAAGAGAGGGCTCTCAGCGACCTCGAGGAGGTGAACGTGTACTGGGTGGGCGTTGTCATCTTTGTCATCTTTGAGGCTGAAAATCTTGAGGAAACGAAAGACATATGAGGATGACTGTGAACTTAGGTGAGCGCGCAAAGTGAGCTGAGCTGTTTGTCGGCATCGTGTTTCTTATCTTATCCGGCGGCCCGGTTCAGCACTGCGACTCAAGTCATACCATAGGTAATTACCTAAGCATCCCCATATCAAAGTTGAACAGCAATTGCAAAGAAGCCCCAAGACATGAAGTGCATGGGAGAGACCAACCGACAGGCAAGCTCCGGTGAACATCAAGAAAAGCCATGAAAAAGCATTCCATTCCATTCCACACAAACATATCTGGTATAATTTCCCCCGCTATTGCCTGATCTCCCGCTACACTTTTACCAATACACTTTGAATTGTCTTCCCATTCCCCAACCACTTCACCTCAAATGTCCGCACCCTGGCCATGCGCAGGTATATTCTTCTTCTCATCACTGTATCCCGAAGGACCGAAGCCTCTGTCAATCAGATCCTGCTTCCTCTGCGCCTCCTGTCTCTCTTCCCTCTTGTTATATAGCCACCAGACCGTGCTGTACGAAATCAAGATCACGATGAAAATGGCGACGAAGCCGAAAAGAATGCCCATTTGCGTGCTGAGCTTAGCATGCACAACGGGGAGAGTTTGTTGGCTGGAGCTGGAAGGCATTTCGATTTCTTTCGTTCAGCTCTGATTTCCGTTACTTTCCATGTTGAGAAATTGGCATGCGGGGTCTTACAATGGAGACTTTCCTCCTTTCTCTGCTTTTGTCTGGTATTTATTTTGGTATTTCCGTACCGATAACTTGCACACATTCAGGTTGAGAAAAGAGGTCTGCGACCGTCCATCGTTTATCGTCCTCCTCGTCCTGGCAGCCGTCCAAAAATCAAGCATTCATGATCCCACGAACTCAATTCAGAAGTCGATCAGCGCTGCCAATTCAATAATTGGTGCATTTCATCTTCACGCGACAAATGATGTAATTTTCAGTTGACAGCTGCAGGGCTGACGTCCAGATAGCTAGGGTGTTGAGCGCTGGAAATTTTGATTGGTGATGGTTGCATGGGCTTGTTTCGGGGGAGCTTTCCCGCTTTTGACCTGGTGCGACGAGTAGGAAGAAAAAAGTATTTCATATATCTACGACTATCTTCGTATCTTCCTGAACAACATCAAGTCCTATGTCAGCAAGAATGAGATTTTGAATACAACCCGAAATTTCTCCTGTGTTAAGTAATCAGAGGGTTGGAAGTCCGATGGCTACGAATAGGCTTTAGTGCTACAGTCGCAAAACCACCCTGTACTCTGCAAGTCTTGCCTCGGCCGTCGAGTGGCAATGACAGACTTACTAATACAGATCGTGAGCCTCATATCATGAGTCTTGAATGTCAACCTCAAAAGTTTATACTTAAACTCCTACATCGCCAATCCCAGAAAAGTTCAGGCACTGATGAGATTTGTCAGCATGCAGCGTCCGTAATCCCAACTTTCCACTCCCCATTTTCTTCTCTCTCGCTCCCAAAGACCTCTTCAAAACCTCCCAACCCCCCAAAGAATGGAGAGAAGAGTAAGAACCGGCTGCCTAACATGTCGTCGCCGCCGCGTAAAATGCGACCAAGCAAAACCAACCTGCGAGCGCTGCAGAACCGCAAACTTCGTCTGCGAAGGCTACGAAGCACCCCGCCAAGCCCCCGCCCGCACTCCACCACGGATCTCTCCTCCGCCGCGCTCACGAGGCTCACGATCTCCATTAGCTGAGATGCCGTGGCGACACGCGGACTGGAGACAGGAGCAGTTACCGCTGTATCATCACTTTGTTACGATCACGGCGTTCAGATTGTTTCGTAATGATCATGTGCAGTTTTGGAGGGATCAGGTTGCGCAGATGAGTTACGGCGTTGATATTGTGTATGAGGCGCTTTTGGCTATTGGAGCTATGCATCGAGCGATACTGTTGAGGTGTCAGGTGGAGAGCCAACCGGAGTCTGCTAAATTTAGGGTTTTGGCGTTGAGGATGTATGGGAATGTGATTCGCTCACTCCCGAAGCATTTAAATCAGAATAGTATTGCGGAGATCTACGCTGTCCTGGTGGTTTTGATGCTTTTGGCTTATTTCGAGGTAAGATATGCCTCATGCAGCTGAGAACCTGGCTGATAAGTTCTGGTAGTGCTTCATGGAGAATCCTAAAGCTTCTTTTCGTCATTTGTGGGCTGCCATCCAACTCCTCCGAAAATCAGAAGGTCGTCTGTCCAACTCAGAGGTCTTGAACATGGTACCAGTTTACGACGCTATGTTGCGTCTAGATTTCCTGGCTCAGAAACTCGTACCCTACGCTCGCTCCTCCTTTCTGAAAACCGCAGATCTGGCGATCAACGAGTCGCCCTTCTGGAATAGACAGGATCCCGAATTCGTCGGTGTGGATCCAGCAGATCGAATAGCCACCGAACGGTACCGCTTAATCCAGCTCATCTGCGCACACAACAAACTCAGTCGAATCATCTGGGGATGTTGGTGTCCCGTTGGCGAACGACCCAGTCGAGAAGAGCTCATGGGTTTCTATTCCGAAATGCAGTTATGGAAAGCGAACTCGCCAGCAACGTTCGAAGGATATGATGATTCGTATTTCAGCTACGAAGCCAAAGAATTCTCGGACCTGCAAGGACTTCCAATTCCGCCCCCTCCTCTTCATCTTCGTTCTGTCGAAGCGGCGCTGAGTATCGGGATGTTCAACGGCTATCTCGGTTGCGCCATCGCTATGATATGCACTACAGACGAAGACCCTGTTGCTCGAGAGCTGGAGAACTATAATCTCGTGTATAAGAATATGCGCATCGCAGCAGCGTTGATCGAGAAACACGCAGATTGGCGGTCTCCGAAGAACCCTTATAAACCCTGCGACGCAATCAGCCTCGGCATCTCACTCTATCTCTATCATGGAGCAAGGAGGTGTTTCTCGTTGGCATGGCAGAAATGGACGATCTTGGCGCTGCGAATGATTGGGAGGGAGGGCTTGTCGAATGGGTTCACAAATGCGAATACCTTGGAGGTGATGTGTGATCTGGAGACTAGGATGAAGAGAGGTACATCGAGGGGTTTACTGATGGATGTCGATGAGAATTCGGGATTGGGATCGATTCGTGAGCGATTGGCGCCGTTGCTCATGCCACGTGGAGAGGACGATCAGATGCTAGCTTTCTATTTACGATTCGGCAATGAAGAGGCAGATGGTGATGAGGGTGCTGTGCAGGTTGTTGCTAGAGCGACTTGGACGGAGACTTTTGGGGGCCAGATGGAGGATTTGAAGTTGGACATCTATGAGTCTGCGGTGGAGGAACAGGCGGCGTTACATGATAGACCACAGGCGTATGAGTTGTTCAGTACTTGGAGGCAAGCCGTCGAGCAGGGTTGGCATGGGTATCTTTCGCCGGATGTCGAGAATCGGCTGGTGAAGCAAGAGGATGTATCTCCTGCCGTCGGATGAGTATGTTGGATTGCTCGAGGTCTGAAAGCTGGTTCCAAAGACTCTCATTACCAGCTATTGATGGTTGAGGACGAAGTGTGGACGTTGGTCTAACAAGCTGGAAGAATGGGATATTATGCTAGAAGTAATGGTTCAAGAGGCATTCGCGACTAAGCACAATCTTCAACATAATCTTGATACTCACTTCCGTGCTTGTTTTCGGTATCTTTCATACATTATCTACCAAATTCGAAACCTGCAGTATCTCCGAAAAACCTAGGTGTTTACCTCCAGCAACAAGGCACAGAAGCTCGATTCGACGCACACGAGCCCATCTTTCATGTTGGCTGCACGGAACTCCAACTGCACAACACCCAAATCTTTCAGGTCAAACCTCAGAAAACGTACATCTGCAGATGACAAAGCCGGGAGCACTCTTTCTCCACTAATTAAATGCCATGCATAGAAACGTTGCAAGTTCTTGGCGCTCTCGCCTCGAGCGTAACGAGCGAAGCGAGAGTCAGGGTTAGAGCTGACAGAGATCCATTTAAATCCATTGAGGTGCATGAACTCGGTCCTTGATCACTCGTTTGGACTGTTATCTTGTACGGGGAAAATCTCATGCAGTTGTAAATACCAAGGTGGCCTTCCCTCTCTCTTTCAAGAAAGCTATCCTTAACTATTGCGTAAGATTCTTAATTATATGCCCCCGCTTGCGATCCCGGATGATTGTCTTCGCTGGTTGATTCGTCTATAAAGCGAACTGCACATGTAATGCAGGGCTCGCTGTCAGCCATGTGCGGCCGAGATGCATGCGTCACTCTTCGGTGTAGGGCTGGAATGGATCCACCGTGATGGCTTGTGTAACCACGATGTAGATGCGATGCAAGAAAGATGACAAACGTTGCTTCGAAGGAACAAATGGAACATCGTCGATGGCACTGTACGTTGCATAAAAGAGCCTGGATGCTCGACATTGAGGATTCTCTCTTCATCCCAGCGCATCTATCACTTCGAAGCGAAACCCGAGAAGCTACAATACAACAGCCACCATACCTTCTGTAAAATCAAAATCGCAAAAATCACAATGACCAGACCAAAGATCCTCATCGTCCTCTCCTCCGCCAGCAACGGCTGGTACCTCCCCGAATTCGCCCACCCTTACGAAGTCCTCTCCCCAACCTGCGACCTCACAATCGCTTCTCCCCTCGGCGGCCCCACAGTCCTGGACCCTATCTCCGTGCAACTCTTCAAAGACGATTCTTATTGTCAAGAATTCGCACAGACGAAACAGAAGCTGTGGCTGGAGACCCGGAAACTGGACGAATTCACTGGCAAAGCGGGGGAGTTTGACGCAATTCTTTATGTCGGGGGCTTTGGACGTACGGTCTCTCTTCTTCCTTCTTTAGGATCAAGAGAGAGAAATAGCTAATATGTAAGGGTGATAGCAATGTTCGATCTAGTAGACAACAAAGTCTCCACGGACCTCATCATCGAGTTCCACGAAAAGCACAAGATCGTATCAGCCGTGTGTCATGGGGCGGCGGCTCTGCTGAAGGCTACGTTGCCGGATGGGACGTTGTTCATTAAGGAAGAGAAGGTGACAGGGTTTAGTAATGCGGAGGAGATTGCTGTTGATAGGCAGAAGGATATGCCGTTTCACTTGGAGACGGCGTTGGATGTCGCTAGTGGAGGCGGGTATGAGAAGGCGGATCAGGCGTGGGGTGAGAAAGTTGTTGTCAGTGTCAGTGGAGATGGAGAGGGGAGGAAGAGGTTGTTGACGGGACAGAATCCGGCGAGCGCTAAGGGGATGGCGGTGGAGTTGTTGAAGATGCTTGCGGAAGGTTAGTCTCTGAAGAGTCGGAATTGATTTTTGAAGAAGACGGAGAAGGAGAAGAATAAAGGTGTCGAGCAGTGGATGTGTCGGGAAACACTTTAAATTCTTTAATCTTGAGACAATCTCAACAGTCTCTTTTTACAATTTTGAGGTGAAGTCATGCCGTTGTCCCCATGCCCAATTGCACCCCAACTCCTGCACCAGAAATGCAAAGCTCCTTATTTAATGCCCAGCACTCAGAAACCCCTCAAAGCTTCAACTCCTGGTATGTCTCCGATGCAATGTCGATGATAATCTTGCCCTGCGCTCTCTTTGTTCTCAGCCTCTCAAAGGCCTTTGGTGCATCCTCAAACTTGAACACATTATCGACCGTCGGCTTGATAACACCATCCTTCATCCACTGACCCAGCTGGTTCAAATCGTCCGCCTTTGGCATCGGGAAGAATCCCTCAACCACTCTTTGCAGTCCACCCATCCAAACAGGCAAGTACCTCCTCTTCAACTGATCCTGAATAACATCCAACGTGATATCCTGCGCCACAAGAATGAAGACCTTGCCCTCCTTCAAGTATTCATGCGCCCTCCAGTAAAGCTCCTTATCCTGCCCCACATTATCAACCACATGATCGAACTTCTCTCCACTCATCAACACCTGCAAAACATTAAACTTCTTGTAATCGATCACCACATCCGCCCCCAAGCTCTTGCACAGCTCCACATTAGCCGTCGAGCAAGTCGTCGTAACATGGCATCCGACCTCTTTCGCGATCTGAATGCCGAACCCACCCACACCCCCAGAGCCTCCATTAATGAAAAGTCTGTCTCCCTTCTTCACTCTCGGGACGATGGATTGCAGCGCCGTCAGACCAGCGACGGGAATACACGCCCCATCAAAAGGACTCAGTCCCTCCGGTAACGGAACAATATTCCCCTCTCCCGCAATAGCGAATTCTCTCAACGCGCCGCCCGCAAACGGGGGCATAGTCCCGCTGGCACCAAAGACCAATTGTCCGACTTTCAGCTCCGAGTTCTCGGCAGGCTTGATGATGCGGCCGGTGAAATCGATTCCGGGCGTCGCGGGTTTCGGGATCATGAAGCGGCCCACCAGGGGAGTTTCCGCGGGCTTGTAGTCGATGGGGTTTAGTGCTAGAGCAATGACTTGCACGAGATGTTGTTCGGAGGTGGTGGCGGGCAGGGGCGTGTGTTCGTTGAGGAAGAGGTTGTTTTCTACGCCGCCAGTGGTGTTGTGGTATTGCCACGCGCGCATGGAGGTCACGAATGGTGCCATTTTGGATGTTGTTTTGTTGTTAAAAATTCTGGTTTTGGGTTCGGAGTCGAAGCTGGAAGACTTGAACCTATGTCGTTGTTTCTTTGTGTCGGGAAGGGTGATTTGGAGATTTGTTGTCGGGATGACGGGCAGCTTGAGGGTAGGAATTGTTTCTGGAGAGTGAATGATGTTGTATATGTAGAATGTTGTCGGCGCGACATTATTGCCAAGATCGGTCAGTATACTGCTGTAACTTCGGTCTAGGTTATTGATAGCTCGGACAATGTTCATACGCACAACTTGGCTCTCTGCACGTGTTTTGTTCGGAGGGTAAGTGAATCCTCCTCGGCCAGGGGCACAAGCGAACGCCGCACTGCACGATAATTACATGCTCAGCCTCCCCCAAACATGCTCAGGAATGATTTCGTGAGCACTGGCTCTACTGATAAGATGCTTTCGCAGCTCTAAATCGTCATACCCTATCACACATGTTGAAAGGTACCGAAAAGTCGAGAGGTCGACGCTAAGTCATGCACCATTCAGTAAGCAGCCGAACAACAACCTGAAAACTATCCGAATCCGCACTCGTCTCGAATGATTAATCGCACATTTCGCTCGTTGAAGCCTCGAGAGTCAGGACAGAGATCGAGATATTTCCAATTGCGCTGGGGAAAAAAGACTAGAATTTTGAGTGGTAATAAAGTCTGGCAGTGCTTTCAGTCAAGCATTGATCTCGCCAAGACTGTACAAAAATGCAAGTAAAACCTGCAGCCACAACCAAATCAATTGGCGGGACAAAATGACACCCAAAATGCAGCACTCTTCATAAGATCAACTAAGATACTGAAAAGTTGCGTAAGCAAATTGTTATGACACCATTCCATGTTGTTTTCCCGACTTCGGGAAGTTGGCAGTGGACGGATGTGAGAGTTCGGGTAGTTTTCCAAAATGGCTGCAGCAACTACATAAATCGTATGTTTCACTATCAATATCCTCCATCGCCGCAGCGAAGGACCCGTCCGTGAAACTTCGGGTCAGCCTCAAAGGAAGCAAATCCTGATCGCTTCCAAGTTGTTATTCATCCAAATTTTGATCACGTGCTCGCAATTGGACCCTTCATCATCGTCTGCTTAAAGACCTGTAATGCCACCGCAGGCTGGTAGAACGGAACTTCATGTCCCGCTCCAAAGACTCTCAACCAGCTCAGGTTACCCACGCTCTTGAAAGTGCCGCTCGCAACACCGTTGACGGTGTAGCTGGTCACGGCTTTGGATTTGAATGCAGAGGAGCCGGAGTAGGTGATTCCTTCTGCAGAGGCAAGACCACCAAACCAGTTGCAAATCCAGTCTGCATCACCGGCCCAGATGAGGGTCGTGATGCCGGATTGGACGACGGTTGAAAGGGTGGAGAGGAATGATCGTGCATCTGACAAAGGATGTTAGCTTGGGATTCGGTACAAGCATGGGAATGAGAGAAGGTGAAACTTGGGGGATCCAAAGGCCACAAGAGTGCACGGTGTCCTTATGGACCCTGCACCGAGGCTTGTGGCGGATTCATTTAACAAGACGCCAGAGATACTTCGTCGCATCGTACTGGTGTCACAGAAGCCGGCTCAGCAGCCTCCCACAAGGGATCTAAGACGAAGGAAAAATTGAACGTACCATCACCTGTATTGGCAAACTTCTCATATGGGGCATCAGGGCACTCAGAATAAGTGCTCTGAGCACCAATTGCGCTCATGACAGCCGAACTCTGCAAGTAGTTGACATACGTCTCTGGTGGGTTAGGATCATTACTTGGAGCACGAATGTCGTACACGTCGAAATCAGCGACACTGGAAAGTGGGCCCTCGATGTCGTTGTAGCATGTGTTATCAGCATTTTCGCAAGCAGAATTGGTTCCTGTGGTTGCGGGGCACTTTTGAAGAAGGGGCAAGCAGCTTTTGGTATACGTGTTCAGGTATGAGGTATGTTGTGATGCGCTGATAAGAGGAGTGTAGGTGTTGTTGTAACTGAAGTCTACGTAGGCCTTGTATTGGATGATTGGGTCGTACCAGCCGTTGTTGATTCCAAGAGCGACAAGAGAAACGTTTTGGCCGGTCACGGAGCCAGACGCAATGGCGGCATTTTGGGACTCGAAGTAAGAAGCAAATTCTGGATTAACAATCAGCAAAACTCAATTAAGACGAGGGCTCTGAGAATTACCTGGGCCGTAGTGTCCACCGTAAGACTCGGTAAAGATACCAAAGTCGCGATTTTCATACTGTGGGAATTGCGCAAAGAAAGCTTGCAGCAATTTCCACACATATGGAGCAGCAGTCACAGTTGAAGTCACGGGATCTGTACCGTATGAAAATCCAGTACCAATGGGCTGATCAACATACAGCATGTTTGCGTATTCGTTAAAGCTGTATGGATTCAGTGACGGTGTTGAAGCACCGTTGACGAAGTGACATGGCCCATTTTCCTAAAGAAATCGGCATCAGAGCGGAGCCAGTTTCATGGGGTTTATTCGTACCTGGAATAACCCAATCATTGATGAGCATCCTGGACCACCATTAAACCAAGTCGCGAGCGGTGCAGTGGTTGGATTATTTCGAGCCTCAAAGAACCAGAACCACATATTTTCGTTGCCTAATGGCGATTAGATAAGGTTCATACTACAGTAGCATTACTCACTTCCAACTGAGAGATAACCAGAGTATTGATTGACTCCGGGGGTCGTCTCACAGATGCCAGAGTTGGTCACAAAATCAATCTTTGCACCAGTGGCTTCGTGCTCGAAAATTGTTCTCTTGACACCATCACGCTCAACAAATGAGCGTTTGCCCTTCAGCTCAGGCGCGATCGACTCTGTCGCTTCCGAAGTCTGTGCTGGCAAGGCGACAGATAAAATTGGCAATGCCATACATGACAACAATTGATAGATGTGAGAACGCATCGCGAAAATTAGGCTGGCACAGAGGAATGACAAACAAGGCGGACGGAAGAACGAAAGACCAGTGAGCTGGTATATTTATATTGCTTCCTCCATAGGATCACTTGATCTGGCAACGCAGATCTCGCGGCTTTCGCCAAGAGGTACTACGGCCCAATATCTATAAAGAGAAGGTCCGGAGAAGAATAAAAAGCTTCCATTGCGCTAGATATCTTAAAATTAAACGACATGTAGGAAGGTGGGAGATCTGATTGATGGGAGTGGGAGATAAGCATCTCGAAGTACCGTTGTAATCCGGTAGATATGCTTGTCATTTGATCGAAGTGGGGTGCCAGCCAGGAACAGCGGGCGGCAATCTGCAGGACATGTTAAGCTTATATGGCGCGATCCACGGCCTTTGTTCCATTCGAGGCAGCTGATTGATTGTAGGAAGCTCCCAAAAGAAGCTTCTTTGAGACTGAAACTTAAATATCTCATCACCTTCCTATCTGAGGCCATCACGTGTTCCTTGGTAGCGCAACTGGGCAATCGGATTGGTCGTTGCAAGATAGGATGGAGAAGCCTCATCTTATCAACTCTCCAGCTGTGAGGACTAAGACGAGGGGAAGCGAATGGAGGCGGAGCAGAGATGCCCCGGGCTGAGGAGTAGACGCCGAGATTGGAAAGTGGAAATTGCCCATTCTGCAGGAAAGGAACTGCAGTGTGGGCGGACGAAATTCGATAGGAAGATGAACGAAGATTGGAATTGAAAAGTCCGAATGTTTATGAACAGAGGAGATGGATACAAAGGTAGACAGCAGAGACTGCAGAGACTTGAAGATTGACCTGAGGCATGACATTGTGGGGCAACAGCTTCGGTATTCGCCGCGAGCTAGGCTGAATCTAGTCCTTTGCTAACCAAAACCTCAGCAATGCTGCAACCTTAACTCCACGACAGGCACTTGTATCTTCTCGATACTACGAAACAGCTTTGCGTGGAAACGTTAAGCTCATCGTGTGGTGTATTCTCACGCCTCAAAGCCTAACAAAGAACTCCCAGAAGCAATTGGTCAAATCGCGGAGACGAACAGGCACATTATCCGGCTGTATCGCTAGTCTCGCAAATTGTTGGAATTCAGTGAATCGCAATTCCCCGAGCCATGTATTCAAAGGTAACCGTACGCCAGCTCAGTGTGTTGGAGAGTCGGTTTTGAGATCTTTCGTTCTATCAAACCTCCCTCGTATTTCCCTTCGGTGGTCTGCAGGCGCCTCCTTCATCCCCTCCAATCGATCGCCCGTCCTCGCATATCAAAGTACCTTGGTCTTAGGAATAAGAAACATCGCTCCCGCCGGGTTGCCCTTATATCGGTGCGAGACGGCCATCTCCAAAGAAGCGATTCGAAACGCAGTCAAGACTTAGTTCTCCCGAAGAAAGACAGCATCACAATACAAGCTCGACCTCCTCAACCCCGCTGATACCATGACATTCGATCAGCTGTCCATTGCCCTCGCCAGTCTAGCGATTTTGATCGTTGTTGCATATACAGCACATGCAAAGCTGCGCTTTGAAGGCTTGCCAACAAACCTGCCATGGGTTGGCAGGCAGTACGGCTTTCTCGCGGATCTACGAACACGAGCGGGTAGTATGGGCAATCTTCTTCCATCCATTGAGTCTGGCTATCGCAAAGTATGTTCAGCTATCATGTCCTGAGCCCAAGACTGACAACCCGAGTAGTATTCGAAAGCCGGAATCAATTTCATCCTCCCTTGTTTCGATCGAGCATTCATTCTTGTCCCAGGTTCGCAGGTCAAGTGGATCACAGAGCAAGCCGACAATGTCTTGAGCGCGGCGTCCATGCAGATCGAAGTCTTGCAGACAGATTATACCCTTCTCGACCCATCGATGGCCAGAAACCCTATTCACGAAACCATAGTCCGGAGAGACCTTACACGCTCGCTCGGTGCACTTATACCTGATATTCACGAAGAGTTGAATGTGGCCATTGACGAGTACTTGGGGAAGGACACTGAGAACTGGGTTGATATCTCGGTATTCTCGGATATGCAGAAAATAGTTGCTAGGATTTCAAACCGTATCTTCGTGGGACTGCCATTGTGTACGAATCCTCTCATTGACCAGCAGCACAGCAATAGCTGACTTGAATAGGCCGGAATGAAGAGTACCTCGTCAATGCTGGTAAGTTTGCGACCGACATCGCTGTCACCGGTGCTGTGATGCGCTCTATACCTGGCATCATCAAACCTCTGCTGGCATGGATCGTGATTCTTCCGAACAGATGGCATCTCTATAAATGCTCCAAGCATCTACTCCCTTTCGTGCGTCAAAGGATCGCGGATTTGAGTGCTCGGAGACAAGGGGAAAGTAAAGCAGGACTGAATGACTTCACGACATGGTACCTCGACGAAGTTGCTGACCATCCAGATGCCGCTGAGAGAGCCCCCGAGAAAGTAGTCAAGCGTTTGATGACAGTAAATTTTGCTGCCATCCATACATCAACCTTCACGGCAACCAACATCATCTTTGACTTGCTCTCCTCACCCAACGCAGCCGAGAATATCCAGGAGATTCGCGAGGAGATGCTGCATGTTTTGTCAGAACACGGTGGGAAATGGGATAAGAACGCAGTTGCACAGCTGGTAAAGACTGACAGTGCTGTCAGAGAGAGCTTGCGGATCTCGACTTTCATGAGTCACGGCATGGACAGAATGGTCGTCAGTCCTGATGGTGTCACCATGCAAGACGGCCTTCATTTGCCTGCTGGGTCTCGCATTGCAACGTCCACTTTCGCTATCCATCACGATGATGATATTTACGAGAACTCCAGGACTTATGATCCGTTCCGCTTCTCTCGCATTCGAGAAACTGCTACAATGACCAAAACAACCCAAGGTAATGGTGGGGAGCAGAAAGACTTCACAAAGCTCTTGGAGTCGAAGAATCTCTCTACGGTCACCACCTCTGATACCTTCCTTTCCTTTGGTCATGGTAGACATGCTTGCCCTGGCCGATTCTTCGCAGCGACCGAGATGAAATTGTTACTTGCCTGCATCATTTTGAACTACGAGTTCAAGGCTTTGGAAGCTCGACCACCAAATCAATACATTGGAGGGGCGATTTTGCCGCCGATGCAAGCTACAATTTCAATAAAGAGGCGGCAACATTGAAATAACGATATCGGGGGCAACAATGTTTATTGTTCTTCGGGATTGTGTTTAGAGAGTATGAGACCCATTCTGCACTTCTGGCACGATAGCAAAGGATATTTGATCGCGATGTCTTAGATTGCGAACACAAATCACGGATATACCCAGTACTAGCAACGGCCCAAAGGTCACACGAAGCTCCTGCTCAACCAACACGATGCATTTAATTGAGACCTGTCTGCATTTGATGTTTTGTTTTCCCTGTGCGAATTCTCAATGAAAGTTGTGCTTATCTGGAGCACATCGTTAGTAGTGACTGGCGAGCTTTTGGAACTTGGTGGATAGTTGTGCCACGAAGGACCATACTTGTTCCACTTCGGCATCTAGGCAACGTCTGACCATTCACCAAGATATATAGATTTTCTATATTGGAAACCTGTTGTTCGAAGGGATTTCATGCTCGAAGTGGAGATGGGAACGGCACAACCCGATAAGGAAGACTCAGCAACTTCGGGCAAGCCACGAATCTCGCTTCTGCTTTGAAAAAGCAATTTGAGTCCACACAAGGCTGGAGAGGCTGCGACAAACACCACTTGTGTGTAACAATCGATATCATGCGCAATCTCTCGTGTACCGCCATTATTGATTCAGCCGATCATTTTTTGCATATGTTAAGCCTTTGGTCACCTCCCCTCTCTGCATATTTTCTCTTCTCTCTTTTTTCTTCTTGCTTCTCCTTCTCAAGTGCAGAAACCAAGATGTCGTCTTCAACCCCGCCGCCCCCGAAATCTAGTGCTAAATCACCGACATTTACTCCCAGCACTCTCACAGACGCATATAAAACAGGTTACACAGCAGCGTCCGCCATTTCATCTTCGACATCTCAAGCCCCAACAATGACACTCCCAAAATCGCTAAATGACACCATCTCCAGCACATCAGGTTACTTCTCCGAAAAGCATCCTGAAGAGCACACAGCCGAAATCTACGACTCACCTCCCGAAGGCATGTCCCACGACCCCGTCGTCCTTTTCCACACAGCCCTCGGTATTCCTCCCCCGAAACCCGCAAAGCCAGTCAAAGCCACGAAAAAGAATCCACATCCTCCAGCGCCGCCCCCGAAACCAAAACTCACGCCAGCAAATAAGGGCGTCTATCACCAAGTCCTGCAGATGGAGCGTGTGTCACGCTGGAAATACCGCTCCTGCGACGCCATTGTCACTATCGCCATGTTCCTCCAAATCATCGTCGGTGCCTCCGTCACTGCCTTCGGTGCTGGATCCGCGAGCCATATCTTGATTACAGCGTTCGGGGCGGCGAATACGGCGTTGGCTTCGTTGTTAGCAGTGTTGAAGAGCCAGGGACTGCCGAATCGGATTAGGCAGGATTGGAATTGTTGGCGAGAGCTGAGAGAATATATTGAGGAGAAGGAGAGAGAGATTGAGATGGTTTATGCGGGAAGGATTGGAGATGGGAGTCAGGTGGAGTTGAAGGATGTTTGGGACATTGTGAAGGGGATTGAGAGGAGGTATAATACGGTTAGGCTGACGTGTGAGGCGAATCGGCCGGATACTTATATCAAGGTCCCGCCGGCAACGGAACTGCCTAAGTAGAAGGTGGGGAGGGAGAAGACAGGAGTCTATGCCCAGTGGTTTGTTGAATTGCGTTCGAGCGTTCGGTGAATGCATGGTGTTTGGGGAAATAATTTGCATCTATTCAAGCCTCTTCGGGCTTACATGGTTGGACTATCTCAGTTATGCAGCATTTTTGATCTGACAGACTGCGAAGTCATCTTATATAATCTGTTCATAGTATGTATCTTCCTGCTTAATCATTTTAATCCTATATTTTTGATTTTTCTGCTTGTTTGCCAATACTTATCCTTGCTCTGATCTTCTCGGACATCTTACCCTATCAATTTAATCTTGCCTCGTTTCTGCCACCTTCACGGCCTTATGAGAGGCTTCCAAGGTTCTTAGGTAACTTTCTCCAGACCAACATACACGTGATGGGCTACTGTTCTGGGAAAGTGGGAAATACTTCTAGAGCACAGTCTGATATATGCTTGGAAACGCTGATAACGTTCCGACTCATGGGTTTCCACAACCTGTTATCAAAACCGATCGCCATTTCATTGCAGAAGTGCAAGTGACCACCTGCATTTTACCTAGCTGAGTCACGTGCAGCCAGCATGTGACTAGCATCTGTCCCGGAGATTTTATTGCGGGATCGAGGAGAATTTGACGCAGAGGATTAGCACGACCAATCTGAGAACACTGTGACCTACCTCTATTGATACAGATCTTGTCGTCTCATCTTTTATCTTATTGTCGTGAAACCTCTCACTGCCAAGAGAGGCCAAGACTCTAACTTTGAAATCGGAAAGGGGGGACTTGGCTTTACTTGGCTTTACTTGGCTCTCGGCTAGAAGAAAGTATATTTTGACGAGACGACTTCTTCGAACATCCTTCTTGACCGCAATACAACAAATAATGTTTATTTGAACGATTTCCGAATAGACTTCAGAAACGGCTTATCAGGTAACGTGATCTCTACGTCATATCTGATTTCCAGTATTGAGAGAAAATATCGAGCTGAACCACCCAATATCAATACTTGTATGGAATATGTGACTAGTGTCCAAGATATCTCAAGCCATCATCTCTGTTTTCTTTCTTCAGATCTCAATTGCGATTATCAAACTTTCTACTCTTCAAGCTGAGCAGATCATCGTGTGAGAACTTGGCTGCTCATGGACTCAGTTGCTTGTTCACTGCTTTCAGCGCAATCATTCCTAATATCTTGACGGATTTTACATTATATTGACTCACTGCTCACTTTTCATGCAGTACTTCTCTAATTCTAGAGGATCGATTACGTAAGATATTTCTTTCTTGGCTAATCAAGAAACGGTTCCCAGCCAGCCTTGATTCACGGTACCGACGTCATATCAACCACGCGTATATCTTCCCCCATCTGCTTTCTTATTTTTGCGCCAAGAACGATCATCTTATCACAACATCACGATGGTCTCCGAACACGTTTTTCAGCTTTGCCAAGCAACAGAGACCGTCAGCTCGGTGTACGCCCAGGACCCCACCCAAGCACCGGGGGATATCGTCAAAAAGCTTTATGGACACCACAAGAAAGACCTTCATTTTGACCCCGAGAAAAAGCGAGCAGATCTCTCTACCCATGATTTGGAGATTGCGTTCAAATGCGGTCGCTGGGGACCAACGAAACCGAGTCCCCTCTTCCTCCAAGCGTTTGCCGACTCACTGAATTGCTTGGATGCTGATCCAATGTCCGGATTGGTTTCTCCTCCATTGATGGGATCTCATGGAACGGTACCACTTACCGTCATTGCACCACTTACAGACATTATTCGACATTGTTCGAACTTGATTGTCCGTGCTGAGAGAGAGGTGTTCTTCATCACATGTTCTTGGTCACCATCGGTCGCTCAGAGACTTGTCAAAGATGCTCTGATAGAGCTTTCGAAACGTGCTGGGAGCAGAGGCCAAAGAGTCGTGGTCAAGATGATGTACGACAAGGCAGCAGCTGCCAACGCCATTGATGCCCATCAAGTGGTCAAGGAGGCGGCATACACTGGAAAATCAATCCAATTACCAAAACCAGAGGAAATTCCTAATTTGGATTTCGAGGTGATCAGTCTTCACAGACTGGTCTTGGGAACGCTGCATGCCAAGTTCTGTGTCGTGGATCGGAAAGTGGCGGCGGTGATGAGCAACAACATGGAAGACAACGACAACGTGGAGATGATGACCCATGTGGAAGGACCTATTGTTGATAGTATCTACGATACAGCGCTGATAACTTGGAACAATCACTTGAATCCTCCTCTTCCGTCTCACGCCGCTCCAGCAACCCAAGGAGGTTTACCCACTTCCGGCCAAGAACCACTTTACATGGATCGAGGACCAGCACGAGGACAAGACCAAATCGCAGCCGACGGACAAGCAGTTCGCCTCCCAGAGCACATGCCAGATGATCCGCATTACGATGCCGATCTCAGCGGCGAAATTACACGTATGCAATCCTGCTACTCCATGAAGCCCGACGAAACTCGACTCCAAGCCACAACCCGCCAACTCAATCTCCCATGCAAGAAACCCGCTCCTCCTTCCGGTCCCGAAATCCCCGAAGGTCAAGAAATGACTCCTTACATCTCAAGCATGACATCCGCACCAGTTCCAATGGCCCTCGTGTCGCGCCCTCCATACGGCCCCGTCGACAAGCACAATGTCTTCGTACCCCAGAACGAAGCCTGGCTGTCCTGCGTCCGCAATGCCAAACGTTCAATCTTCATCCAAACCCCCGATCTGAACGCCGCTCCCCTCATCCCCGCTTTAGCAGCTGCCATCAAGCGTGGTGTCGAAGTAACATACTACGTCTGCTTCGGCTACAACGACGCCGGAGAAATCATCCCAGGTCAAGGCGGCACCAACGACCAAGCTGCTCAAAGCCTTGTCAAAGACGTCTCACACGAAGAAAGAAAATTGTTGCATATCTACTACTATGTAGGCAAAGACCAAGATCACCCCATTCACCAAAGCTTCAAGCAGAGATCTTGTCACATCAAACTTTTGATCGTAGATGAGCATGTTGGGATCCAAGGGAGCGGGAACCAAGATACGCAGAGTTGGTATCATAGTCAGGAAATCAACATCATGTTGGATAGTGAGGAAGTATGCAGGAAGTGGAGGGAGGGTATTGAGAGGAATCAAAATACCAGGACGTTTGGAGAGGCGGCGGAGGATGGGATTTGGAGGGACAAGAATGGGGAGCCGGGAGAGGGGTATATGGGCAATCCTGGGAAGGTGGAGGGGTTGTTTAAGGGTGTTGGCGGAATGTTGAAGAAGATGAAGGATAAGGGGGGTTTTTGATTGGATAGTTCGGAGTTGGTTGGTCAATGAATACATACGGAAAACTGGCGTTGGATACAATAACACATTTAGGTAGTACACGAAGAATTTTCAAAGTACTTCTCGAAGTGTTTCATTACATTTGCTTTCTTGTCCGAATCGTGTCGTCTCTAGTATTCTGTGGAATGCGCTATCGGCGCTGTCTGCGCTGTCTGCGCTGTCCGCGCTGTCCGCGCATCTTGCGCCTTTTGCGCGTCATTCGAGATTCGCGCGCTTTGCTGATGCTTGGTCTGTAGGACCTGAAGCCTGCCGTACTGTAGGGCACTGACTATCATTTGGAATATTCATCCAAGACGCAATTACTACAATAAGCGGATCTTCATGCATACACGCAGTGGTTCAAATTCTGCTCTCATACTCTATACCGTACCTAGGACTAACTATGGAATCATCCCCTGCTACCTGCGTTCTTTTTTCCTGCCAGGTCCACAACACAATGAACAACTTTGACCACTTTCGACTATTGTCTTCAAGAACACGATGCCAAGTCCATTATCATGCCTCAATACGTCTCTGGATGGGTGCCTGGCAACTCTCCTCTCATGATCCTCGCATGCACCTCCGAATTATGAGAGAACGGCACAACTACAGTCTCAAACTTCGACGTATCAACCCATGAAGACGGCGGTCCAGTAAGCTCCGGACCATTATATGGTGTCTTGATCCTTTCCCTCATGATACTGAGTCGTCGAACTCTCATGACTTCTTGGCCTTCTTCATCGATTTTTCTGGGAAGTGCCTTTCTTTCCCTTTCATCAAGCGCCATGACGAACTTGATAGCTGTTTGGAGGAGAACAGTCACGATCGTTCCGTCCTCATTTTGAGATAAGATTCCGGATTTGATGTCGTTGAAGTCGATGGGCGCGCTGAGGCTATCTGTGAATCCCGTGCGGATTAGCTTCACCGGTAACTCATGACACCTGTGTTCTATATCCTCGACATATATGACGAGGGCCTGGAACAGAGGTCGAAGTCTGTAGTATATACGATTTTTGATATCGATATTAAAGTAGAATTTAGAGTATCGTGTCCAATGCTGGTACTCTATGGTTTCGATGGGAGGATCGGGAGTGATGACCCTCTCGCACAGTTCTTGATGAACCTTCAGAACACCAGCGACAGTTTGTTGACGTATTTCAGCATCTTGGAGTCTGATGAATTTGGCGACAAAACGCCCATATTCGATATCAGTGTGGTGCCCGTCAACAAGAAACCATTGAGGATAGATGACATTCAAGGCTTTGATTAGCATTGTGAAATATGTTGGATTGCAAGCCTGCTTTTGTCGATAGTCTGCCCAGTATATGGCTGTTGCTTTGTTGCAGCAGTCTTGGACGTCGAAGAGTTCAACGTACGGGAGACGAGGGAGGCTTGGAAGTATCAGCGGTAACGTAAAGACTCTTCTTTCGAGAAGGAATCTGTGATATCCCTCATCGCTCCTGCGTTGGGCGTATATTATGTCCTGATCTGTGGTTGGATTTCTCTTTCGAGCCATGTATGGATCCTCCTTTTGCAACATAGTCATGTTGATGATGTTGGTAGAAATTCAGGTGTAAAGCAGGGATATAAAGTCGATGCTGCTGAAGTTGTGATAAAGGTTCAGAGGCTTTTGATAGTTTGATGGCGAAGTCTACATTGCAAGTAGTGTAGTCCTAGTTGAAATAGGGCGTTTGTGTCTGTGCCGTTCACGGACCGAGCCGCGCTCTGGATGACATATACCTAGGTAGCTCATGACACTCTTCCCGTACTAATTCGCATTAGCTCATTACCATCGTCAGGATCTATAGGCCTGCAATAAGCCCGTATTATCCGACGCCCGGTCGTGGAATTAAAACTCCAGGAACAATCCGTGCTGGATCATGTCGAATTACCCTGAACTGAAATATGAATTTGGTGAGACGGGGTATTCCGGGCACGCTGACGCTATCTGTTTATTCGGATTGCTGCTGCACAAGAAGACTTCTGACCAGGAAGCGTTGGGTGATACGGTGCTGATCTGAACGACTTCGCCTTCCGGGTACCCGATCAACTCATAGGTCTTTTGTAACACCAACGTTGTTGTCGAGGCTTCTAAATGCTTTTTCTATTGCAGAGCATCTTGGCAGGGAAAGAAGCATGAGGTACTGTAACGGAAGCCGTGCTCGTCCCACTAATCCAAAGACAGTCAAGGGTAGGTCAAGTAGTGTCCTCAGGCAGCTTTTCAACTCACTCGGTAATATTGTCGCCTAAACGCCTAATTTTCGCAAGTTCAATGTCAGCATGTAATCTGCTTTGAGCTTCGTCCATCTGCAACGAAGGTTCCTGATGATGGAGAATCAGAGCTAAGCGGTTCTGGAGATATTGAAGGCATTGTCTCTAAAAGTAGAAAAACCATCTTCAAGCTGCCGTGTTTTGCAAAGTGCTCCGAGAATCGATAGGAGGTTGTTGAAAGATTTGTGTTGAGTTACGGCTGCTGGACCCTCATTGACCGGTACGATTTCCAAAGTCTCGAATAGTTGTCTTTGTGACTCATCGTTCAATCAGAGGCTCCAGCTGAAAGCTTGAGACTTGGGAACAAGCTATCCAACTTACACGATGAGACCTGATTTGAGATTGAACTATCTTTTGGTTGAGTTCTGCCCAAGAACAAACAAGACGGCGAGATCGAAATGATGGTGGAGGTGAAGCTGAGAAGGGTATAAAATGCAACATAGTAACAAGGTATACATGAGCGTAGACATGCTGGAGCCGAGGATCATTTCATCTCCCGTCAGGTTTGGAAGGCAGCGTTAAATGGGATTGCTTTTCGACAAATCGTTATATTTTGTCAAAAGACCGGTTTATAGTTGATCAGCACACTCCCTTGCCAGTGCTATAACCTCGTGCTAGAATCAACCGTTTTGGGCGGTTGAGGACCTTCGGATTGTTGAAAATGATTGACAATTTAAAACCAAATTGGGCTACCCATTGGGTCTTTCGTCTTCCATACTGGGTTTGGGACTTGAGCTGTGCAATCGAAACACGGAACGCGAAGCCCAGCACCAATGTTTCACAACAGACTTAGTTCGAGTCCTGTGTGATCCCTTACATCTTCATCTTTGGGGACCGCAGAGACGAAGCAGGAGAGTCATTGAGACAGTGTTGAACTTCACTATAGGAGTATGTGGATTGGCAATCCGGGTTGAATCCTTCAGCCACTCGGGATTGTGTTTATCCTGCGAGTGTTGACACCCTCCGGCGTACGCGGAGCCAGGATTCGTGGAGGGCCCACCTTGCGGCGGCCAAAGGTCAGCGCCACCTGTTACCCCTGGATTTAACGACACGTGCTGTATTGGCAGGCTAGCTGGCCTGGATATGTACTTTATATACCGCGCATATCCGCGGTTGCTCTGCTACTCTATGCTTAAGCTCTCCTCTCGAGTCGCTTCTGCTTGCTCTTGCTGAGCTGGTTCTTCTTCCTTCCTTGGCGAAGATCTGGTTCCTGAACGGATGGACGGCGCTCATTTGGAATAGGTGCCTGCTCTAAGGCCAGAAGAAAATCAAAAGCGGCGTTCCGTTGCTTCAAGACTTGTATGCTGTGGATATTCTTATATCCAATACCTGCACAATGCTCCGTCAACATACGGACAACACCTTTGAGATTTGGTGTACCAAGAAGTGCGAAAAAGCTCTCGTGCCCTGGTCGGAAAGTTTTTTGCACTGTATCTTGGTCATTGGTACTACCCAGAATTGAACTGAGCACAGAACTGGTATCTGGGTTCTGGACGTGCTTAACTGCGAGGAAGCGAAGACCCCAAACTGCACCATCTTGACAAATGCAGAATTGCTGCCAATGCTGAAACAATAGGTCTGACCATTGCAGCCTGTCAATACTCGCATTCATGTCGCATTCTTTATCAACATCCCAGACAACAATGACTCCATCTTTGGAGTTGAAGTAATGAATATATATGGCGTTGACAAAGGCATCTGGGCAAGGTCTCGTATGGATCGCAGTCATCCACCAATTGTCCAACAAGTCAACACCGCCTTTTTCCAAAGCATCTCCCAGCAGAGAACCCTCTTCTAGAACTGGTAATGCCTCCGCATCAGGAGTCTCGTAGCATTTTTGAATTGAATGAGAAGGTATATCGACACGGGCAGAAGACTGGAGGCGAGATTGCAGAGCATTGAAAAGGGTGCGAACCTTGATCGTAGCATCGGAGAGGAGGAGGGGAGGACTCGACATTATAACAGAATCACACAAGACTGACAGCAGACACGATGCACAGAGGGCCAAAGGAGACAAAACACTACATTGTTCGCTGTTCTCGAGTGCGATCCCGAGAAACTTTCTTTCACAACGCTCCTTCTCATTTTGATTTCCTTCGTTGCAAAACCTCATCAGCACCCAAACTTCCATATTCTTGTCGTGGAGCCTTATTTAGTACCCTTAAACCACAGCTTGGGCACAATATCTCGACATTGTAAAAACCTTCGAGGCTATCAGATTACCGATGCACAGGCCGTCCTTCCCCACGAAACCACTCGGACGGCCACTGGAACCTGATCACTCCTCAGAAAGCTCCAGCGACGAATCTGACGAACATGATGAAGATAGTACAATAGACGCTTTAGCACATTGATACCTCAGAAAATGGGGACGCAGTCAAATCGCTAAGCGGGGGGAAAGGGGCTCCACGTGAGCGCGCTTTACTTGTAGGAAGTCAGGCTTCTAAAGGCGGAATTATTCCAAGAATATTTGGCCGAGAATCATGCAATCTCGAAGTGCTCAATTCTTGAGGCATACGTGGATATCATACCAAAAGTCGTGCCATTGCTCACGGATTACGAGAAGGCGTTGGGCTCCCCTTGCTATGATTGCAAGGTCTACCCAAGGACAACCCAGGTACACATTTACCGTTGCAAGAGCCGCTGCATGAGGAATTATGTAGGTCAAGATGCAAGTAGTATTTCATCTGAAATGCACATCGCAGAAAGACAGAATGCAGGATAAAGTTGATTCGAGTCGAAATAATTTCACTTCTTTCCGAGGTTTCCAAAGTATCAGGGCTGATTCTCAGCTGAATGGACTTGTTAAAATTGACTTCCTCAGTGGACAACAGCTCTTCACGATCAAATTTCGATTTTTGACTTAGAATTTCAACAGGTAGCTGCAAGCTGAATCTGGCTCGTACAGTCGTGTGTAGTTGAAAGATGCGAATAATTAGATACGGCGCATCTTCTCGATCGCCAAGCCCTCGATGATATTTATTGAGTTATAACCCAATGTGAGAATCATCGAAGGCGAATAGAGGGACAACTCGCATATCCTCCTCTCCTCAAAAGCCGAGGAGCCAATAACGTCAAACTGAGGGATATTCGACACGAAGCTTCCGCACCTGTCACTCCCTGATCCGACTATGCGCTCCTATCAGAAATGCTTAACATGAAACAGCTCTGCTCGAGTTCCCCATGGGACGATCGCTAACGGTTGTTAATCGTTAAGTTTCGGCAAGTATGTAAGTGTCAGCGATGATCCTTCCACTTTAACCTTGAAGATCCCCACGTTACGGAGCCGCAGTGCCGCTCCAGCGAGGCTCTTTCCTGTTCTTGGCAGAACTCAACGTCACTGCAAAAAACATATATGCGCACCAATCACGATCGAGAAGCAAAGTCATGGAGAGAATATGTGGTATGTGGATTGTTCTTTTGACTGGGGTTGCGGAGAGGAGAGAGGGGAGAGAGCGAGATGGCAAAAACTGGGAAACGTAACTTCGTATATAATGCGCCCGTGGGCCAAAGTCCTTATTGCTTTTGTTTTTCTCCTTTGCATCCATTCTTCAGTTGTGTTACATTAGTTGCCCACTATGAATGCTCTCTTTCACTTCCCGAAGATTACCAATGTCTACTTCCTCGCATCAATTGCGACGGTTGGTGGCATGCTGTCAGTCTTCCCTGTCATCATCAGCTAAACAATTTCTAATAAAAATGCAGGTTTGGTTTCGATATTTCCTCGATGTCAGCCATCATTGGGACTCAACAATACATTGACTATTTCGATAACCCGCAAGGCATCACTCAAGGAGGAATCGGTGCTGGACTGGCTGGTGGTTCTGTGATTGGAGCAATCATCGCTGGACCAGTATCCAACAAGATCGGTCGTCGAGATGCAATCTTTTTCGCCTGTATATGGTGGCTCCTTGGAACGGCCCTTCAGACTGCCTGTAATGGCATTCCTATGTTGATCTGTGGTCGCTTCATCAATGGAATTTGTGTTGGTATCACCTCTTCCCAGGTCCCTGTCTACCTTGCCGAAATCGCGAAAAAAGATGCCAGAGGTTCGATTATCGTTATTCAGCAATGGGCGATCGAGTGGGGTATCTTCATCATGTATTTCGTTGGATATGGTTGCTCGTTCATCACAGATACGCCAACGGCATCCTTCAGAACTGCTTGGGCTATTCAGTTCGTCCCAGCTATCTTCCTTATGCTCGGCATTCCTTTCCTCCCAAGATCACCTCGATGGCTGGCCAAAGTAGGACGAGAGAAGGAAGCTATCCAAATCCTTGCAGACATCCAAGCCAAAGGCAACATCAGTGATCCTCTTGTCGTCGCAGAATGGGAGGAAATCACCACCATTCTGGCGGCCGAGCGGGAAGGTCAGAAGGGATGGAGACGTTTCTTCAAGAATGGAATGTGGAGACGAACACTTGCTGGCACCTCAGTCCAAGCTTGGCAACAACTCAGTGGGGCCAACGTCATGACCTATTATGTTGTCTACATCTTTGAAATGGCAAATTTGACTGGTAACACTGGTCTTGTTTCTTCAGGAGTGCAGTACGCTATTTTCATCATCGGAACAGCTGCAACATTCTTCTTCATTGACAAGACTGGTCGTCGACCACTTTTGGTAAGTTGACTGATATCAAAATCGATAAAAAACATGACTGATGTGTCACTTCACAGATTTATGGCGCAGTTGGAATGGGGATATGCATGATGGTTGTCGGAGGTGTGCTTGGAAGTTATGGCACATATCTGCCTGATGGATTGAAAGGCAATCTGAGCGTCAGGGTCCAGGTAACAGGTTCGCCAGCATACACTGTCATCGCATTCTGCTACATCTTGGTCTTGATATACTCTCTCACGCTCGCTCCAATTGCATGGGTCTACGCTGCTGAAGTGTGGTCTTTGGAGACTCGAGCCACCGGCATGGCACTTGCATCTGTTGCAAACTGGTGAATACTCCTAACCCTTATTTCCACATATGTATTAACATGCTTTCAGGCTCTTCAATTTTGCGATCGGCCTCTTCATTCCAGCTGCTTTCCAGAACATTTCGTGGAAACTCTTCATCATCTTCGGAACTCTCTGCTTTGGTGCTGCGATCCAAGCCTTCTTCACCTACCCAGAGACAGCAGGCAAGACACTTGAAGAAATTGAGCTCATGTTCAGAAAAGGAGGACCAAAGCCATGGAAGACGAAACCTGGTGACAGTTTGTTGGATCAGAGAATTCTAGAAGTTACAGAGCATAGCACGAAGCGAGGAGGTATTACTGAGGGTATGGAGGAGGAGAGAATGGAATATGGTGAGAAGAGTGCTGTTTGAAGTTTGAAAGTCGGTCGTGAGGAGAGGACATATGGCCTTTAGGAGTCAGGACTTTTGACTAATTACTTTCCTCTGCTAAGTTACTAAGTACTACTACGGACTTACATGTTTTTGAATGTGAGTGTTCTCTATGCAAGAATTTTCGAACGGAACAGTGCGCTGCAAAGGAAAGGACGTATCAACTGGACAAGATGTGATCTTCAGTGATAGTGATTCTTTTACTGAGCTCATGTGCATCGCTTTGGAGTTATATCTTCTCAATAGTAGAAAGTCTCACAGTAATCATTCAAGAACAGCTGTGTGAGAGTCGACATTGGTGAAAGACGCTAGCCTTGTGTGAAGGGCAGGAAAAAGAATGGAGTCAACGCATGGCAATGGAATATTCAGAGCCGGGAACAAGTGCGCTGAGGTATGCTGGAAGCTCTGTGTGTTGAGAGTAGCCAATATCTGTGACGGATGGTATGCATTGAGCACAACTTCTCCCAAGTCTGTCTCATTGATGACCAAGTCCTATCAGCGTCGCGGCTTACGATCAGAAAGTCAGTCTTCTGATCTGAGCTGTTCTAAGCTAGGCGATTACTCGTCCTGTTGCACTCTAGTCCACAAAGTTGTGGATCTATCATGCCACCGCACAGGATCGGGATGATCTTCAACCATCGGCCACGGACACTGGCCCTTGACAAAATTAGCGAAAAGTACCTGATTTGCATCATAGATATCCCACGCGTCCTCCCGGTAGTGCCAACCCGTGTAATCGATACTACCTTTATTAACGTTAAAACGTATCTCGATCTGATCAAGATTCGCGTTGTCCCTTAGCTCTTCCAGCATGGCTCGACAATTATCCTTTAGCAGATGCGAACCCCATGAGGAGATCTGTTTGCCCCTCTCCTTGCGTCCTAGAAAACAACTCTTGAAAAACAACCTTCGAAGCGTAGAAGAATATTTAAAGACGAATTGTTTAAGTGGTTTGTCTGAGGTCCGGAAGTCTTCCAATCTGAGAGTGTGGAGTTTTCGCCAAGTGTTCTGGTAGAGGGCATTTTGGAAAATTTCCCAACAGGTCAAGTAGTTAACCGTCTCCCAAGCGCTTAGGCAGCTGTCCCTATCTATCTATAGAAGTGTCAAGCTTTCAAGATTCCCCATATTCCCCAGAAAGCCGGACAAGCCAGCGGTTCCAGACGCCAAGCTAGCTCGATCCGGGCCCAATGTATCCTGAACGACTCCGATGTGTATATGTTGAATTTTGCTAAGAAACTCCTGGAAGTCTATCGGAAAGTCCGTATTCTTCATGTTTTCAGCATTTGAAGCATTCGATTTTCTATTCTTATTTGCACAGGAAGATAATGCTTCGAAAGTTTGCAGCGGGATGGCTTCCAAAAGCAGTCTTTTTATCGGTGACTTGATAGCCCTGAAGGTTTTTATGATGCCGAGATACTGCGCCCAAGCTGCTTTTCTATTTTGAACATGGTACGCAAACGGGCGGTTTTCTGCCAACATTCTCGTCCAGAACTTGCAAAGTTCTGTTTCGATTTTAGGCCAAGGACACTGTTCAGAGAACACGCTTAAGGTGTCAACTTTGGGAAGCCTAGAAAATATCGTGATGAGGGTCTTCGTGTCAGGACCCAAGTCGGGACCCTCACTACGGGCGGAAGTTACGACATAAAGGTCGCACCTACTGACTATTCACTTTTTGGAGTATTGGCTATCGAAAAATACTTGAACTTTCTATGTACGCGCTGCAAAATTCTATGTACATTACAAAAATCAAAATCTAATTCTTAAATTCGCCATTCTCCCAATAATAAGAGATTCCAAACTAGCCAATCAAAGCGCTCTAAAAAAGTCGTTATCATCAGCATTTTCAACATAAATTGGCCTTCCTGTGATAGCACGGTGGGAAGCTCAGTACGTAGACGAAAAATCGATTCGGCTATCTCTTAGAATCTAAAAGTAAGGAAGGAAGAAGGGAGTGGGAGAGCCAGAGCTTATATACGCCAGAGTGAAACATGCTTACGCCCTAAGCCCGATCCGTTCTCAGGGAGAATCACGTGGAGGCTACCCAGATGCTCACGTGATCCCTGTCACAGGCGATTGGGGCAGGCGATTACTGCAGGCGATTCAGATCAGGGTGATCCAAGTGATCCGTAACAGGTGAGTATGTATTATGTAGAGTTATTGAAAATGTACATAAGATTTTGCAGCGCGTTCATAGAAAATTCAAGTATTTGGGCAAATTTTTCGATAGTTAATACTCCAAAAAGTGAATAATCAGTAGGTGCGACCTTTATGTCGTAACTTCCGCCCGTAGTTAGAATAAAATCATTGAGTGTTCGGAACTGAAGCCGATTTCGAACTTTACTATACAGAAAAATTCAAAGCTCAATATACCTCGTACCCTTACGATGCCAACGCGTGCCTATAAGGGATGTGGCGAGCAGTTATCCGAGAGCGCTCCCGAGTGCATTTGTGGAATAAAGAACCCGCACCATGCATCCCCGCCTCCATCATCTCCCTTCCCCGAACCCGAACCCGAACCCGAACCTGAACCCGCCAATGAGCCTTCACCAAGATTAAGAACAAAAGAAGAAGTGAAGGTACAACACAGTCTGGAGTAAGGAGCTTTTTTTGACCTTTTTATGTTCTAGCTATCTATGAACCAAGAGCGGGACATTGCGAGGGAAAATATATGAAGGGTCTAGGGGGTGTCTGATTATAACTTGGGGCTTGTGGTTCTAATTGGAAGAATCGGAGTGGGAATTTATTTTTTGAGAATACTTCATAATATAGTAGCCTTTTTCCAAAAGTCTTTGATCTCTTTTATGCCAGAAATTGTCTTCGTCGCTTTGACCGATCGACTGTGAATCGCATTATGCAGTTGTTCGATGAGGGGTCGTTTTCCAGCAGCAGTCTTTCGATCGCTGCTGTCATCAAGCGGGACAAGTGGCATTCCTTTATACGCCCGTGCGCCCGTCGATGGCCTGCGGCATGCGCCAAACATCGTCGACGTCCCCGCCGACTTATCCACTCTCTTCGACTACCTGACGAAGAGCGACACCGACGCGGGACAAGAAGAACTTCTGACTGCACCTGTACGAGGCGGCCGTGCACCGCGCGGATGTACGGATATACACATGGGTGGGACATCGCGAGCTGGCGAGGAAGACCATGGAGAAAAGTGTCATCACTCTACATGCCTCGCAACCACGGATTGTACTTGCCACCTTCAAATGCAACACAACAACATCCGACTTTCCAAGACGACCGCAGTGCTTGGTCCCGCCTCCGACTAGCAGGAGGTGCAACACTCCTCGAGACGCAGCTGCGAACTAGTATCAAAGGTTTGAGTTGAGCCTGTGTTCTTTCTGGGACTGACGTCCAAGTTCACAAGACTTGTCTTGTCATTGTAACTTGAATCTCGGCAAATTTGCTCTTTGTTGTAGTAATGCGAACTATGGCCCGAAAACTTTTCTTGGTTATTTTAAAAGAAGAGCTGATATGAATCACTCCACTTATTCTTTGTTCTTGTTTCCTCAACACCAACCGTACTCAGCTCGGACTCATATTTGGATTGTACCTGTAACACGGGATAATCCATTGCATCAAAAGAATTTGAATTATTTCTCTCCAAAAGTTTCAAACTGCATGAAGTCTCGAATTGCTTTCTTCTCTACTTTCTGCTTTGTGCAGAACAAAGGCCGAAAAATACAACAGGTTTAAGTTAGAAACTGTTTTCGTACAATAGATATTGATGTTGCATGCAAGCCTCAATAGAGTTAAAAGTCCTTCGTGTCTGCTGATTTTTCATCTCGTAATATTAAGTCTGTAAGCTCTATCTACTACACTTACACCGATTCTACCCCCTTTACAGCTATGGATCGCATGTCAAGTTTTTTGAGGCCAGAACGACAGAGACAAACAAATCCTCCCCCAGAAGGAGTAGAGGACGCAACAAAGATATGTTGGTTCTGTCAACACACCCCTCCTCCAAGCCGGCTCGAGTGCACCCGATGCAAGTTATGCTTCTTGCCTACGAAGAGAACGGATGGTAAAGACACAGTGTGGTATGTTGGTTATTTCAACAACTTACAAACGCCTGAAGAGAGAAAGATAGTATCAGATACAGTTGCCAAGGAACTTGTTAGTTCTACGAGAAATGTGGCGGTTTGTTGCGAGCACAGGAATTCCGGGCTATGGATTATTTTCCGACAATTGGATGTCGAACGGAAATTTTCTATCAAGCATGCAGGTCTGACCCATGACCAGGCATTTACGGATTGGAACGAAGTGAAAAATCTTAGCGGGGACATCCAGGAGATAGTGAAGCTCTTGGTTTGCAATAGCAATCAAAAATGTGAGTTCTGATCTCAATGATTTTGTCAACTCGAGACTAATTGACGTGGCAGTACCCGGATGGTATCCAAAATAAATTTTCCCAATTGCCTCTTCCCTAGTCGCTGCATTTGGTATTGTTGATTGTTTGGTATGCCACTATGTTTGGAAGTTTGCGAATAAGGGATCGGAGAGTTGGCGGTGTCCTAGCAGCAGGGTTCTGAGGGAAGAGACGATTGATTTGTACTAGCTTGTAGGAGAGTGCTATCAAATACAGAAGTTGTAACCTGAATTGAGAGCATAAGGAACTAGAGACAATCTTTTTAGGTCAAAAGAACTCTATAGTGATCAAACACTCTCTCACTCTCGCTTGATACTAATAACTAACTTGGTAACGTAAGCTCTTTCCTTTTTGAGTTATTTCCGATTGGCATGGGTATAGTGTAGAGGCTTTTACTGAATGCATTGATTGAGCCTCAGTAAAGATGGAAAATAGCAACGAGGTAAATTCCCCTTAAGACATTGAGGAACAAATAATATAACTTGCAACTAAAATACATTTAAACTCAAATTTAAATTCAAAAAACTCCTTCCTCCATCTCATCTTAGTGGGTCCCGTTCATGACCATCGGCTCATACAATACTCCTCTCATATAATTTCCCCATCTGTGTATTGCTTTGTTAGAGAATTAGGTTGGCCTTCACTCTGAACAAGATTGTTCCACATTTTGTCAAATTCAATTATATAATTAGGATAAGTTTTAGTCACATCGTAGGTTACTTCTCGCGAAAGTTTCAGCGCAAAAGCATCGTCTGAACGATACCAAGTGCAAAATGGCGCACACTTGGAAAAAGGCCGTCCATGCCAGTAATTTCGGTCATTCGGGGAATGTTTGAAAAGTTGCTCCCCTTGCGCCTGAAATGCTGACATAAGTTCGCCCATTTCGTCCTCAATCTTGGAAAACGCCGTGATATTCTCGCTTGACATCAAGAGTTCCAATTTTCCAAGAAAAAGGCCAGTGCGACGACCATAATACCATTCAACCCCTGAAACTGTCAGCAAGATACTTAACGTTATTTTGTTGCTACGTACACTACGGGTAATAGCCAGCAAATTCTTAATCAATAATAGCCGATATTTTGTAGATTCTAAGTATTTCTTCAAAGACGAAAATATTTTGCCCATGTAAATCGCCATAAATGAAGACATATTCTTCATTTGATAATCCGCCTTCTTTTAGGAGAACAGTTTTAACTTTAGCAATTTTTTCATTAACTTCTCTTATCCAACTCTCTGGAAATCGACCTTTTGGTCGGTTATCCCACGAATTATATTTCATACGAAATAGGGTTTTCCGCCATGCCGGAACGAGCTTTTCTAACTATTCTATTGTATTAAAAAGAACATCCTAGCAAGGTCTATGATTACATCTGAAAATGAAATCGCGAAATGGTTCTCCATCTATTGTTTAGACCCGTGGAGCAGTAAGTTTACGCCATTTATGTATATAGTTTGCCAAATCTTTCGCAAAAATGTCCTTTTGTTTTGGGGTGAGTTGGTGTTCGATATTTGTATATTCGATTTTTTTTGCACGAGACATAACAGTAAGCGCATATTTGTCCTCTTTTTCTCCAAATCTATGCATTTCCACGAGAGACATTTTTGGGAAATTGCTATGGACCAACTGTTGCGCTTTATAATCGTTTGCACAACCATTCCAGTCGTTATTAATTTCGTCTCTAACAAACCACTTTGGGCCAGCTTCCCATAAGCCAGCTTCTCCCTTTAGGTGACGGACTTTGAGCCGGGATGTGTACCCCCATGGTGAGATCTGGTGTCGACTATTCTATCCACAATTATGGCAGAGTTCCTCAAAGCGGCGGTTATCAAAGTGGGAATAGATCAGACTTTCGTCGTTGTCGAACCAATCTTGTGAAACAACTAGATGTTTATCATAGAACTGAACAAGATCATTTCCATCGACTCCAGGATGATCTAAATAACAAGTTAGAACTAGGTGTGGCCAGGATAACATATATATACTGTACTAACATGTGCCGTCCCATTCCATCTTCTCCTTAAGTGCGTGTTCATAGTCTTTCTCTCTTCTAGCCGTCTCTTTGGCTCTTTCTTCTTTCACAAATGCTGTGTCAGAGATAGCCCATTCACAATCAGACTCTCCTTCATCTTCAACTTCTTTATTATTAAAACCGGTCTCGTGTTCGGCATTTTTGATGGTCGAGTTGATCGTTGTAATGAATTCTTTTTTACCCTCATAATCCGTACCTGGCGCACTTTCAGAGGGGCTGTTACCTGTGTTAGCGATCTCGTTGGACATGGTGCTTACGGCGCAAGTCTTCGATTGATCGCTATAATTTCCTGAGCTAGGTCTTAGTGCTTGTAAGTGTTAAAATTACTAGAGTAGAATATTGTAGAATAGTAATTTATTTAATTAAGTTAAAAAAAGACTTGAAATCTCTGCTCTTTATATAGACGATATTTTTCTAAATTACATGTGTCACGGTTCTGGAGTCACGTGCTCGCTAAGTACTCACGTGACCGCTCACCTGTATATATGCTCTGCCTTCCGGCGCTTCTTTCCTTCCTTTCCTCTTTACCTTTAGATTCTAAGAGATAGCCTAATCGATTCCTCGTCTACGTACTTGAGTCCAACCGTGCTGTCACAACATGTTTGCATTTAAATATATATAATATAAAGAAATAATAAAGAGTTTAATAATTCTTTATTAATATTTAATTTAATATAATAAAGATTTTACGAAAATAAATTAAATCTTTATTTTCTCTTTATTAATATATAAATAAAAAATCTTCATAATTTTTATATATAATATAAAATTTTTTTTTTTAAAAAAATAAAGAATATAATAATATTTCTTTATTAATAATAAAGAAAATATTAAAAATATTTATTATTTCTAATAATAAATAAATAATTAAAATTTTAAGAAAATTAAACTAAATATTAATACGCGAAAAATAAAAAAACGTATAAAAAACTTTATTATAAATTAAATTAAAGAAATTGAAAAAAAAATTTTTAAAGACAAAAATACGCATTTAGTAATTTCTTTATTAATTAAATGAAAACGAATTATTTCTTATATAAAGCTCTTTTTGTCACAATCACGGGACTAGTGGACCACAAGCTCAGTAAGCGAAGCAGTTCGATTAGCAAGAGACTTTCTTCCTTGTTTTCGCGGCCTGCTCCATGGATTTCTTACACGTGTCACACTGTTCTCCTTCAACATTCTCGTTTCCAAGAGGTTGAATAAGCATTGCTGATGCAGAAGTAGACTTGCCGAGTTTATACTTGACATATGCATTCGGGAAATCCGGGTTGTTTTCCTTCCATAAATGGGGCTCCCGCTTTTGTGAGAAGGTAGATTGGTGGCTCAAAATGTATTCCACCTCTCGTCGAATGAAGCCGCATTGTGAATCCAGCATTCGAAAGACTTGATCGAGCAGTTCAGTATAAGGAAGTGGACGCTGGAGCAATGTGTTAAGCAATGTGTTAAGCATATAAGTATAAGTGTGAAGGTGGCGAAGAAGAGGAAAATTACCTCAGTTTGATGACCCCATGAGCCGGTATAGGGAACGATTGGGTGGTTAGCCATCACCTCCATCACCTCCTCCGCCTCCTCCGCCTCCACTACCACCTTGACCATGAACGATCGGGTGGCTACCGGGAGCTGTGTCGACATCAGCACAAGATGCGAAGTCAAGTAAGAATGAAAGGTAAAGTATACGACCATAAGAAACATTAGAGAGAGAGAGAGAGAGATATCCATAAAGCGGGGTAGAAGCAACACGATTAGCCTAGAAACGCAACGAGGAAACGCAACAAGGAAATGCAACGAGAAAAGACAACAAGAAAAGAAAAAGGCATTCTTGTAAGAGGATAGAAGCAGTGGATCTAGGAAGGTTTGTTAGTTAATATTGTGCTGCATGATCCCACGCGGTGCATTAGCACCACACAGAATTTGCTTACCTAATATCTCAACCATCTCCATTCTCCCACCTTCCTACTCGACCGTATCCTCTTTAATGTAGAGTGTCATGCTCAACTTGACTCTTCTATCCTGTGGGTACTGCGTTTGACGTTCCAATTCTGATATGGCTCTCCTGAATTGTTTCCCAATAGAAACTTGCTCCCTTCTTCCGCCCTCGTCGTACTGGATTCTGGAGTTGTGGAGATCCAAGTCGAGCTCTATATCCTTTAATAACTGGCTGAACTTGGACCAGCTCAGGTGGTTGCATCGAATGTTGTGATGTTCTAAACACTGGGTACTATCTTCGAGTATTGCTGAAATGGCAACCTCAACCCAGCTGCATCCTCCATTCTCTCCCTCCAGACAAATCAGAATATTCTTATTACATAGCGGTTGGGTTGCTGGCCTCGGCTGAAAATGTGGATCGGTTAAAGAAATTTTAAAGTTTTATTGTCACGGTTCTGGAGTCACGTGCCAGCTAAGGAATACTCACGTGACCGCTCGCCTGTATATATACCCTGCCTTTCGGCGCTTCCTTCCTTTCTTTCCTCTTTACCTTTAGATTCTAAGAGATAGCCGAATCGATACTTCGTCTACGTACTAAGCTTCCAACCGTGCTGTCACATTATCTAAAGGTCTAACAACCCCCTACCAGCCTGGGAAGGCATAATAAAGAATATCCGACCAGAGACTGTACGCGTTGGACGTGTACCGCGAAGAGTATATCCT